ATGATGATGATGATGTATTCGATACCAGGTCTGCCTTAGTTATTTAGGTACGCCATTTAGGTATATATGTATAAATTTATTTCAGATAACATCCATATTGCATTCATTAAAAATAACATTTCAGATACTTAGAATAAAAAAATAAATAACAAAAACAATTTCGGTATAAAATTAATGTCATAAAAGCTACGAATTACTAAAAAAAATTATGTCAAAACTACCTCAACCTATAGGCTGGCTTGGTTCCAGAGTGTTCAACATACACACTTGCACAGTGCTGCGTTATTGGGCAGTCCAGAACCATGATACCTGCTTCCAGCGGATTCCTGTGATCTTCAACAGGTTCTCGGAATCCGCTGGATACAGGTAGCACAGGATTGGTCGTTGTGGTGAAGCTTGGAGGAGACCTATATCCAGCAGTGGACTTTGTGGGCTGAAAAAAATAATAATAATAAAAAAGTGAAATATTATCATTATATGGGCGTAGAATTTAGCCAATACACATCATTGTCTCTTGGGAGATAAGTTCCAATTCCTGACGTGCATTTCGCTAGAAAAGAGTATAGTAGTGATGCCTTCTAGTTCTGGGTCGAGAATTCTTAGTGGTGGTAGGACCCCTTGTGAGTCCGCACCGGTAGGTATCACCACCCTGCCTGTTTCTGCTGTGAAGCAGTAAGGTGTTTCGGTTTGAAGGGTGGGGCGGCCGCTGTAACTTTACTGAGACCTTAGAACTTATATGGCGCAATTACTTTGTAGGTGTCTCTGGGCTCCAGTAACCACATAATAACCAGGTGGACTGTGAGCTCGTCGAACCATCTGATCAATATAAATAATAAAAACTTAACACAACTTATCGTGTTCAATTATGATAATAATAACAATGGTAATAGCCGGGAACAAGTCACGCATGGTCATCCGGTCCTGTATCAAGATTCCCTTTACTATGGGAACGGAGGACTGATATACATACTTATATACGTTTAAATATATACGTATATAGATAACAAATACCCAGACAAAGAGGAAACAAATCTGTTCATCACATGATAGTTTTCCCGATGTGGGAATCGAACGTGCAACCCACGACGCAACAGTCAGAGGCGCTAACTTATGCACCACCGAGTCTTATGGTGATTAGTTGCAAATTTTAAGCTATTGCATAGCTTTTATCGCGGGCTCAAAGCGCGGCGACCGAATCAAGAAATTCTGTAACGAAAATAAAACCTAACACCCCCACTCCGCCTACCATGTAGCTCGCGTTCAACACATTCACATGTTGCGCTTGTGTAGTGTTTGTGAATAAGCACGCGGCGTGACGTCGCACTGCATGCGCATCATGAAAATTCTGCCCATCTTTCTCTCGCGCGGTCTAGCTTATGAGTGTGAAGGGGACAGTTAATGTTTTGCCATTGTTAATGTTTATAAATATAGCGTGGTCTTATTTTATTACTGTTTTAATATTAAATTATTATTGTCTAATTATAATTGCATAAGTTGATTAAAATGCTATGCAATAGATTTACCGCGGCCGTCCCCAAGTGCCACGCGTATTTTTTTTGTCTCAGGTGGGTAGACGAACGAGCTCACGACCCACCTGATGTTAAGTGGTTACCGAAGCCCATAAACATCTACTACGTAAATGCCGCCATCTACCTTGAGATATGAGATATCGTACTGTCACTAGGCTATTCGTCTCAAACTGCTGCCTCTGCCGTATTTATTTCTTTAGGAGAATGATGGTCATTATCTTGTCAGTCACGATGAAGGTGCCGATGGCTATCCGATAAAACAATTTCCTTGTCGTAAACATTCGCATGTGTGGCACACACGTTTCTTATCTGTCACACGTAACGTGTTTGTAAACAGCGGATGTGTGTCATGTTACCAGTCGACAATTAAATATCAGGCTTAAACAATATAACGATAGCGACGAGAATCGCGTTTAAATTGAACTTGATAATTGTGCTATTCATATCACGCCATAAAAGCTTATTATATTCTTCATAGACACGTGTTAAAGTTATTGTCAAGTACAAGTCTTATACTACACTACTATAAACAAATTCCTCTGCAACTCGGTACTGATCCCGAACTCTTCTCGTACACAAACAGAAACAGATCTAACCTACATCTAGCCTCTAGACCCTCTAGTCCTTATACTACACTACTATAGACACAGTCCTCTGCAGCTCTGTACTGATCCCGAGCTCATCTCGCAGACAAACAGATACAGATCCGATCTACATCTAGCCTCTAGTCCTATACTACACTACTATAGACACAGTCCTCTGCAGCTCTGTACTAATCCCGAGCTCTTCTCACACACAAACAGATACAGATCCGACCTACATCTAGCCTCTAGTCCTATACTACACTACTATAGACACAGTCCTCTGCAGCTCTGTACTAATCCCGAGCTCTTCTCGTACACAAACAGACACAGATCCGACCTACATCTAGCCTCTAGTCCTATACTACACTACTATAGACACAGTCCTCTGCAGCTCTGTACTGATCCCGAGCTCTTCTCGTACACAAACAGACACAGATCCGACCTACATCACATTCTATGATACTTCTTTAGTTGATTACTTTCCGTCAATATACAGAAACACCGGATTCGACTGCTTCATTGTACCTATTGGCTTAAAATGTATACTGCTCAAATTAAAAACCTAATAGTTGAAGTATGTAGTTGTGCAAAAGTCAACGCATTGCTTTGAATTTTCGCGGCTACTTATGCTATCATATCTTTGCATCGTGTTCTTCAGTGCTGCGGGTCATGACTTAGGGAGAGCTAATGTCCATTCTTTCCTGTCCTCTGCGCAGTCGATAGCGACATTGATGGTGGAGTCCAATGTCGCCTTAATTTGATAGGATTAAGCACATGGAATTACTCCCCTCTGGCCTCTTTCCTTCCACTTATCGGTTCGTACCAAGATTTTCACCTGAGTTCATATTTCTCCGGACAAACTACGGTCATTATGCCGTTTTCAATGGGTTTAACTAACGGCATTTGTAAAAGTCGACATCCCTGTTCTGTTCAGATGGCCCGTGAGACGACATAAAATATTATCTGGTGCAATTTCACGCCGCATTCATAGACTTTCAAACACATTCACACTAGTATCACTTACGACATTACTTTCTCCAGTATCGCTCCACGTCTCGCGGTGACAGGTGACTGTCACAGTTATCTTTAATGAGTTAAGGCCCTATTACAACATAGCGGTTTAATTTTTTTAAGACCACTAGCCAATCGGTGTCGTACGGGTGAAATTGTGGTTATAGTAATGACACGCGTATTATTTATACAATTTTTTTATTACACCTCACAACATCAGAAGCGTTAGTATTGAATTTCGTGCTTCCTCCTTAAGAAGTGAAAAGCTTACCCAAAAAAACTTTCAAATAAAACTTCGATATATTTTGAGAAACATGCATTACGTTTATTTGCAACCAGAAGATATACGGATAGTGGAATTTGTTAAGGCGTATTGTTAGCCCACACGGCTGAACACCGCTATGCGACCTGTCTCTGCCACGATGCAGTCGTGCGTTCGGTAACTAGTAAATATTGACCGGGCCGTGTGTTTGTTCATCCATTTATGCATTACAAACAATTTGCAACTTGGTGCACGTGAACGAAGTGCAACTTCTTTTGCGGTGAATATGATGTACTGTGGTTTTCTTCATTTTTCATCTTTAAATCAAATTTCTCTTGTAGTAGAGAATGGTGTGTATAAGGGAAACGACCTAGCTCGCTTTGTCTTTTCTCCTCTACGGTCGAGTGGTTCGTGAGACGCTCTGTCTATTTTCTCCATTCCCGATCTTGCGGAACGAATGGTAAACAGCCGACGTCGCCCAAAACACGTCATTACAATTCCTCTCGATCCACTAACGGTTCTTTCAAGTATCTCAAGCACCGGCCATCGTACCCGTCGAAACCGTCGCTTGCGACGAAAGGCTCGGCGGGTAATTAACCCACAGACACTGCCCGCTGAGTTTCTCGCCGGATCTTATCAGTGGGTCGCGTTTCCGATCCGGCGGTAGATTCTGCGAAGCACTGCTCTTGCTAGGGTTAGTGTTAGTAACGTCGTCAGGCTTGATCCCCGTGAGCTCACCTACTTGTCAAGGCTACGCTAAAATGGTCTCTCAAGCACATTACCTTAGGTAGGAAAAAAAACCTTTTTCCTTGCTCTCACTTTTCCTTAATTGTAAATTTTACTCACTACGCGCCTAAAGAAGTTTCACTTCAAAAATCGATTAACAAACAAAACGAATTGCAACATGTGTCGTCCCCAAACATTATTATCGCTTGTACAATTTTACGATGCTTCTAACAATCGTGTCAGTGCTTAGATTCTCAAATCTTAAGTAAACACAAGATTGCTAGGGTTAGTGTTAGCTATGTCGTCAGGTTTGAGCCCCGTGAGCTCACCTACTTAAGTGTAGGAAAATAAATAATTATTTCCTCGTTCTCGCTCTTCCTTAATTATAATGAGTCTGTCGCGAGTTAAATTTTACTCACAACGCGCCTAAAGAAGTTTGACTTCAAAAATCGATTGACAAACAAAACGAATTGCAACATGTGTCGTTCACAAACACCATTATCGCTTCTACAATATTACGATGTTTCAAATACTTAATCGTGTCAGTGCTTAGATTCTCAAATCTTAAGTAAACACAAGATTAGACCGTACTGATATTCGAACTATCGCCAACGAATCTAAAGAACTTAGCATCGCCTGGCTTCAAATTAAAACCAATATTGATAGACGAGATCCGGGCCACAATAGTTCACGCAAAACACCATAGATCCGTACGTAGTCTATGATTAAAAAGCACAGAGCAGAAATCGTAAACTTCAAAAATTTCAATTAACTTCATTTCTCTCAAGCCTGTCAAAAAAGAACTCTAGTTTCGTAAAACGATAATAATAAATGTGAAAACAGAATGGACAAAATCTTGCGGAGTGTCAAAGACTGGAGTGCTTCCAGGAATGGGAGCTCGGAGATCAGTAAGAGTCAGTATTCTCTGGTGTCTTCCGGAGACCTGACTGCTGGAGCAGTGCAGCTATGGTTGGGATTACCGGAAGAAGTGAAATATGACCCTGCACTGGCTGCGTTCCGGCGCTACTATGAAAGTGAATATGGTATGTTTTTTATTTCATTTTATACTGCACACACATATCTGTAACTGCCTAGCCTCTAGTCCTATACTACACTACTATAGACACAGTCCTCTGCAGCTCTGTACTGATCCCGAGCTCTTCTCGTACACAAACAGACACAGATCCGACCTACATCTAGCCTCTAGTCCTATACTACACTACTATAGACACAGTCCTCTGCAGCTCTGTACTGATCCCGAGCTCTTCTCGTACACAAACAGACACAGATCCGACCTACATCTAGCCTCTAGTCCTATACTACACTATTATAGACACAGTCCTCTGCAGCTCTGTACTGATCCCGAGCTCTTCTCGTACACAAACAGACACAGATCCGACCTACATCTAGTCTCTTGTCCATATATTTAGTCTTTAGTTCCGTCTTAGACTTTATCTTATCAAAGTATTATAGATGTGTTCATAAGAAATTCCATTACATACATAACTAGGTTTCGAAAGAATAAGTGAATTAACTGTTTGAATGAACAAATTAATAATCAATTAACTCATTGAAAAAAAAAAAGAAGCGATAAAATAAAAATTCTTGTGCATAGTAATTGTCGTATCAAATTCCACGAAACCGACTCCGGAATTTCCACGAAATGTTTTAATTTTAATAAAATTGTTTTGTCACGAAAATTTAAGACAATAATGGAACGCAATTCGGGAATGTCGTTCGAGAAGAATCTGCCTTTGAGCTGTTAACGTCTCCGACTGCAAGCAAATCCCATCCCTCCTGGCTGCGCTCATGGTCGCTCACCTTGACATCTTTGAGTTCTTTTTTTATTCCCTAGGTTGGTGGACGAGCTCACGGCCCACCATATGTTATGTGGTTACCGGAGCCCATAGACATCTGCAAAGTAAATGCCGCCAACCTACCTTGAGACATGAGTTCTAAGATCTCAGTTTTTACAGTAACGGCTGCCCCAACCTAACCAAAACGCATTACTGGTTTATGGCAGAAATAGACAGGGCGGTGGTACCTACCCGTGCGGAGTCACAAGAGGTCCATCCACCAGCAATTACGCAAATTATAATTTTGCGGGTTTGATTTTTATTACACGATGTTATTCCTTCACCGTGGAAGTCAATCGTGAACATTTGTTAAGTACGTATTTCATTAGGAAAAGTGGTACCCACTCGCCTGCGGGATTCGAACACGGTTGCATTGCTACATACGAATGCACCGGACGTCTTATCCTTTAGGCCACGATGACCTGCAAAGAGTTAAATCTCCATTAATATATCCAACGTGCCATTGGAACTATTCCATTTCTTCTTTTGGCGTCCCTTTTACTCCATCCGGTTTTTTTTTAAAGTTCTATTATTTACATTTTTTTGTTTAAAAAGTTAACATTAAAATTTAGATTTTTCAAATGCCAAAAATATAAAAAACTGGTTATTAAGTTATTCACAGCAGTCAAATTGGATTAGGAAGTAATTTCGGTTTCAATATAGCATTAATTTCCTTGACAAAATAGCTAATTTTAAAACAGCTTACACTTAAACGATAGGAAAGCGCCTTTGAAGTGTTTATAGTTAGATATGTTTTAAAGAAATTCGAATAAATAAAAGTGCGTTTCCAATTCGGTGGTCGATTCTGTGAAGCACTGTTCTTGATAGGGCCAGTGTTAGCAAACCCTATCATGTTGAGCTCCGTTAGATCAACTATCTATCATAAATAGCGTAGCTGAAATAGCGCCTTGAGCCACCAGTTATTAGGTAGGTAAAAACATATGACATCTTATTAATATACTAGCGGCCCGCTCCGGCTTCGCTCGGGTCCTTAATAAAATTTTCAAAATAAAAAATATTGCGTCAGGTCTCTAAAAATAGAAAATTATAAAGATAGTTTGAATATTATTTTTTAATAAACTTTTATATTCGTTTAAATAATATTTGTTTTTATCTATTTTATTATTATTTTTTTAGTTTTTGTAAAAAGGTCATACATACAAAACAAAAGCCATTGAGTTTATTGAGTCAGAGCTTCCTTGTACTGGCCCTTGCTCGCCCATCTGTCCTTGTGAAATTGGAACGGGCTCCGGGGCACCAGTAAACCCACAATTATAAAAAATCTACTCTGTGAACGATATTTGATGTTGTTTTTTATTTCTTAAATAAATTAACACTTATTATGGCATAGCTATAATAGTCGGACATATGCTGTCGCCACATTTTTTGTAAATAATAATGTGTTCTACAAAGCTATAGTACATTACTTTATTCTATCATCAATAGTTTTCGCCGGGCACGCAATGTTTAGAATATTTTAGGTGAATTTTTAGACCTTGAGTTACATTATTGGAGTTTTAGTAAGGATCCCTAATTTTAAATAAAATAATATAGCCTATGTCACTCGGAAATACTGTAGCTCCTAAACAGTGAAAGAATTTTTCAAATCGGTTCAGTAGTTTGGAAGCCTATTCGAAACAAACAAACAAATCTTTCCTCTTTATAATATTAATAATAATATTATTATTATTATTATAGTATAGATAATTGGAAAATAGATTTCATTTATTAATAGACATATCGCTGTGCCACCCAGTCTCTTTCGCGTATGACTAAACGGTTCGAAGAATGGGCATCAGCATTCTCGGAGTATAATACCAGGGCGCTGCGATCGCCTATCGCAATTAACCGCTTGTAGTGCTGTAAGGCCGCATGCGTTGTTACAACTATCCTGCACGTTCTTGCCGCTATGTAGTCGTGTGCCCTAAGCACGTTATTACGGATCCTCCCGATCCATTAACGGTGCTTTTAGGTACCTCAAGCACCGGTCACCGGCCAGTGTTAGCAATACTCCTGATTAGAGCCCCGTGAGCTCACCTACACGTTACGGCGAAGCTGAAATAGCCTCTCAAGGCTATCAGCATGTGTAGGGAAAAAAACTTGCAGCTTTATGAGAGAGCCATAAAAAAACCTTTTCATTTCCCTCCTCAAACAGCGGTAGGCAGCGGCTTGGCTCTGCCCCTGGCATTGCTGAAGTCCATGAGCGACGGTAACCACTCACCATCGGGTGGGCCGTATGCTCGTCTGCCTACAAGGGCAATAAAAAAAAAACAATTCCTCAGAGCACTCCCCATGAAACTTACGGTACAGAATACGGAGGGAACCGAAATCCCTCCGCAGACCCAGAGGTTCCAAACGATCCATGAGAATGGAATTATCGACAATCCGAACGACTCTCTTCTGTATATATTCCGAGTCTCGTTAATCCAGATAAATCACACAATATGAAGTCGCTTAACAAACAAACAAACATTTATATTTTTATCTCGTTTATAATAGTGGTTGATATCTGGAATCCTTGAAACAAGATTAGAATATAATGTGATATCGTTTTTTATGACTCAGTTAACTGCTCTAAGGATTTTTGTTCTGTAATGTTGTCATTAAACGAAAATGTCTTTTTTTTTTCCTTTAAATAATGATGTTCTCATTACATTTTAAAACCAACGTAAAACACATTTTGATTACTTTAATAATGACATTATTCATATTATAGTTGTTTTTTTTGTCCATGCCAAATGCCTCCGCGTAATTATCATGTAATGGACGCTGATTTGAATCAGCGGTGATGAGGACACGGACTATGATGGTTTGTGCCCATAAAAAATGCATTTGTAACACACTTTTATTAGCCCGGTATGTTTGAATGTAAAGGAATCTTTGAGCGTCAATTTAACCGACTTCAAACCGTAGGATTAACTCGATAATTCGCACAAGGATCAAGGATCGAAGATGCTGCAATAGTTTTATAAAGGATGACGATACAATAAGTTTATAGCTTCGCTCTAATATCGTGACCTATACAATCTCTATATAGAAAAATGAATTGCTGTTCGTTAGTCTCGCTAAAACTCGAGAACGACTGGACCGATTTGGCTAATTTTGGTCTTGAATTATTTGTGGAAGTCCAGAAAAGGTTTAAAAGGCAGATAAATTTGAAAATGCTCGGAATTAAATAAAAATAACAATTTTGTTTTTCCTTTGATGTATCCCCAGTCAGACGGATTCCTTTTGTTTGTTTTAAGTTTATTTTATACAAATATTTAGGTATTTTACTTATCGATTGAGGCACTACGAAGACTGCCGGGTCAGTAAATTAATTGTATACAAATATTTTTATTTATTGCTTAGACTCGTGAACGATCTCTTGGGCGCCCAGCGTTGAGTGGTTAAGTTTTTTTTCTTTCCACATCAATAACGACAAAAAATGTAAACATTTTAAGGCCGTACCTATTCAGTTTATTAAAAAAGGCTTTATTTGGTGCTGCATTTTTATGTGGCTAAGCTTAAGGTAGGTGACACTGCCGTATTGTTTTTATAAGGTATACTTTTCATACATCTCGGTACCAGCGTTTCTTCTTAGGTGCCATTAAATTCAAGCTTATGTATATATGTATATATATATCGATGAAAAATTGCTCCATTTACCGTGGGCTGTGCTTTCCAATTCCGATTAATCGGTGTCATGTTAGCGATGACGCGTTGCACATAACGCTTCCCCTATGAGCCGCGAAGCGAATACACAAAAAGGTCTGAAGAGTGGTACAACCTTAAAAACCTGGGAAATAAAACCTTAACGGTATCTGGAGACAGTGTCGGAACGCTTCGTGGCAGCTTCTAACCAATGACCAATGACATACCCAATGACCAGGTAACACACAGCCGCCGTCGCCCTAAGCACGTCATTTCCAACCCTACCAATCCACTCTCGGTGCTTATAGGTATTCCAAACACAAGTCATTGTCCTCGCTGACCTGAAAGTCCTCGCTGCTCGACAAGCAACTAAACCCATAGACACAGCGCACTGAGTTGGTCGCGATTTCCACCCGGTGGTAGATTCAGCAAAGCTCTGCTCTTGCTATCGACTAGGTAGGGAAAATAATCGAAGCTTGTATGCCTCGGCTCTGGAAAGAAGTACTTTCATTTTTAGAAAGTGATGGCTAAACAAATAACCAGAATCCACATGAAGCCAGAAATATCTTACGCCTTACAAAGAACGTACTACATAAACAAAATCACTCAACCTTTACAAAACATTCAGGGATCATTAACCATTATTATCATACCAATAATACCAATATTATACCAATCATTAAGACAAAAAGCGACGAACAGTATAGAAAAATCGTGATTTCGTTCATCTGTCCGTCGAATTTTCGCGGCGATTTCGTGAACAAAGGCGTGCGTGTCGATTTTTAGCGCGTGCACTCTCGTCGTCGTTCTGGAACGTTCGATAGCGCAGCTCAGCGGCGGCTAAATTTAGAACGAGCCGGCTCGAACCGGTCCGAAGCGGTTCGAGGAAAACAAAAGTACAGCTACACTAGAGATTTACATATATCTCTCGGCCAGGTTTCGCTTTGGCTTTCGCGAAACACCATATGGAATATTCTTTATGCAGCGGTCCACACACCAACACTCTTACATTATTTTGGTTTATTTTATGATGGTCCTTCTCTAAAATCTCTTCTGTATCATTGTCAGTTGATCGTAAAGCATCTAGCGGCTTTGATCGCCACCACTATAGACTAAATATCTTAGTCTGGTATCTCTTGATCACAGCAATAGGTCAATCTCTCGGGATGACCATACCATACCTTTTTCAGAATTTCCCTAGATGAAAACTATTCTATCGAAGAGGTCGCTTTTAGTGACAAGAGCACTTATTGTACAAATTATACCTGTCTATTGACTGTATTTCAATCTTAATTTCGTTTTGATTTGCAATAAGTATACTATCTCTCTGAACCTTAATAAAATAAGCCAAATTTAAAAGTTAAGAATTTAAGTGGAACGTTATATATTATGTACCTGTCGTTTCATTACGTTGAATTTTTAATCCAGCCGCAATGGAAGATAGCACAGCTGATGGATACGATATTTGCTATACATTGCGCGTGCGATTTTTTCGACCGCCCCTCCACTTTCTTTGTTTACGTGAACGTTATTAACATGACCATCATTTACAGAAAACGTTGAGGAGATAACGCTGAAACCGAGGAACTCCCTCCCAAGGTTACGATTACCGACCGTCAAATCGGCGCCGCATCTCAACAACAACGTTCTGCCTAATCTCAAAGATGAAGCCACCAACGGCTTCAAGATTTCGGCATACGATGAGAAGAATCAAGAGAAAATGTAAGTTATGTGTCCTCTTTTTTTTTACCTACCTATTGCTGGTAAACTCGAGAGGCTATGCTAGCTTCACCGCACGTATAGGCGAAATTCACGGGGTTCAGGCTGGAACTTTGCCAATATCTGCCCTAGTAAGAGTAGTACTTCGCTGAATCTACCACCGGATCGGAATCGCGACCCACTGAGAAGATCCGGCGTGAAACTCATTGAGCTGTGTCTGTGGGTTAACTAACTTTTACAATGAACCCTTCGTAGTATTTGATGAGTGTGTTGTCAGCGATTAGTGGTTAGTGCTTGGTTGTATACTTTATACATGGTCAGTGAATATACTGTCGAAGCAAAATATCTCCATGATCTGTTAAAAGACCTTGACTTGTCGAGAACTTCCGTAAGTTCTGTATTGAAACGAACGCCTAAAGCCGCATTACTAGGTCCTTATCATCTTTGGCTAGACAGAGGCAGGTGGAGAATGAAGGTCAGCGTAATCCGCATTGATAAGGGTTTCTTAAGCCTGCACCAGCGTCGTGATCCCACTGATACTCTTCGTGTACTTTCCACTCTTTGCAATACGATGGGCCCAGAACGCTGAATCCACGGATTACCAAGAAATTCATCTCTAATCTGATCCGATAAGCTTTTGAATATTTTGAATCTTAACTAAAAATTTTGTTCGCAGACAAGAAGAGGAAACGAACATGCGCAAGACGAGCACTGTAAGTAGGTATATTATTGATAAAAATTACGTGTTATTTAGATAGCCACGAAAACTTAGAACAGTTTAAAATGGCAACTAGTACCATTTACATTCAGAGATAGAGAGAGAGAGAGAGAGAGAAAGATTCTTTATTATACACCAAAAAACAAATAAACAGTGCGATACATTAAACACAAAAAAGTACAATTGGCGGTCTTATCGCTAAGAGCGATCTCTTCCAGACAACCATCAGGTGGACAAGAATCATTTGGAAACGAACTACGATACTTATACATACAAGTAAAGATCCCTGCGCCGAAACAATTGAAAACTACTCTCTATTCCAATTATTTATTTATTTATAACTTCATATACTAGAAAGTATAAAGGCGGACTTAATGCCATAGGCATTCTCTAACAGTCTACTTAGGGGAGTGCAGAGATGAATCTCGGTAGGTGTAGTGTGAAAGTGATATTACATAAACATATGTGTATACTATATAACATACATAATATTTATAGATATACATAAATATATACATAAATAGATATCATAAATATATACATATAAAACATATATAAACAAATATTATCAATTAGATGACTCTGCTAACTCTCTGAGAAACAGTTCTCGAACCTTCGTCTTAAACGCTTCACGTGTAGTGGCCGACCTTATTTTGAGTGAATTACATATGGATACCGTCATAGATAACCAAATTATAATAAATACAGGGGATTCTACAGACGATGATGAGGGTGATGACGACGATGAAATCATGAAATATTGATGATGAATAAATTCCATCTTAATAAAAATATCATGTAATATTATCTAATGAAATTTAAAAAACAAAGTTTTATAAATTGTAATTTGATGCTGATCCTTTTTCTGGCAATACGATTTTAATTTGTTCGTTTATAGTAATCGAAGATCAGTATCGACTATAGCTTTACTTCACTAGTATTTGATTATTGACATCTGTCAAATGGGACTTCCTAATTGTAATAGAGAATAGAACCCTGAAGTAAACGGAAGACACGGTTTTTCCCGAGCACTATGACATGTCCTTTTTCAAACGAGGCTTGTGAAGAGTATTAAACGGTAGGCAGCGGCTTGGCTCGGCCCCTGGCATTGCTGACGTCCATGAGCGACGGTAGCCACTCACCATCAGGTGGGCCGTATGCTCGTCTGCCTATACGGCAATAAAAAAAGACAATATTTATAAATTCACACTTATGATTCGATGAGTTCTTTAGTAGCCCGCAATGGATTGTGAAGGTGGTTTGACAGCGCCGGCATTCCGTTGAACTGGCGCGTCGATTCGTTTTTTTTTTGTGTTACATTGCGTGCAAAGCAAAGCACTGGTCAAATGCAGTTTCGCAAATGGGTTTCTTAATCGTATTACGAAATAATGATTGCATAGGATTTTTTTTAAATACCTTTTTTTTATTACTTAGATGGGTGGACGAGCTCATAGCCCATCTAGTGTTAAGTGGTTACTGGAGCCCATAGACATATACAACGTAAATGCACCACCCACCTTGAGATGTGAGTTCTAAGGTCTCAGTTTAGTTACAACGACTGCCCCACCCTTCATACTAAACGCATTACTGATTCACGGCAGAAATAGGCAGGGTGGTGAGACCTGCCCGTACGGACTCACAAGAGGTCCTGCCACCAATAATTACGCAAATTATATTTTTGCGGGTTTGATTTTTATTACACGATGTCATTTTCCTTCACCGTGAAACTCAATCGTGAACATTTTTTAAGTACGTATTTCATTAGAAAAATTGGTACCCGCCGGCGGGGTTCGAACACCGGTGCATCGCTATATACGAATGCACCGGACTTTTTATCCTTTAGACCACGACGACTTTCTTAATATGCCTTACGAATCCCTTAAAATTTGGAACTAATATTTCTATAATAGATTAAAACTGATTATATTATAAGTCGAGTAACCATTCTAATCTTCAAATTGCCTATTTTTTATTGATTACATGAACGAAATATTTTATGCCCCCCTTGGTTTTAAGTGGTCAGCGCCCATAGACATCAACAATGCTGTCGCTCACATTGACACATGTGACTGTGTGTGAAATTTTCAGATTTTCACTATCTAACTTCATCCTCCTTGTTATAGTCCGCCTACGTAAAGCACTTGATAAAAATCTCTATACTCCTGGCCTGCTGGATGTTCTTCACGATCGTCTTCATGATGTACAATGAAAAGGTGGAAGTGTTCATGAGCTCGTCCGTGGCTCCGGGAGAGGTCAAGAGTGAGTACAATGGAATTTGCAATATTTTGCGGTTTTATATCCAACAAGACACCTTGAGATATAAGCTCTAAGGTCTCAAGTATAGTTACAACGGCTGCCTCACCCTTCAATCGAAACGCATTACTGGTTCACGGCAGAAATCGGCAGGGTGGTGGTACCTACCCGCGCGGACTCACAAGAGGTCCACCGCCAGTAAGAAATCAATCAATAACATAAAGTACAATAAAAACGTAACAATTTCCTTAACAAGTGTGTTTTTTCTCAGGCTACATCATAGACTTAAAAGAGGACAAGCTATCATTGTCCTTAAGCCTTTCTGGGCCGTTCCTCTCGGAGCAGTGGCAGGCCAAGTTGAATTCCACGGAGGGAGTAAAGAAGATGGAGGTTTGGGTGGAAAGGCTGCCCGCTGATGACAGCAGAGGAGTATCGATTGAGGTATGATGATTCGGCCCGAAAACAGCGAATGTATTTATGTCGCTTGATATATCTTCTTCTCTTTCTTTCCTATTACCCTCTGCTGAGGTGTAGGGCTCAAATTCTTCCATTTGCATCGGTCTTGGGCAGTCTGTTTTATCTTCTTCCAAGTCATGCCCAAAACACCCAGTTCCTATTCTACTTCGCTTGATATAACAACTTGAATTTGCTCATTTCGAATTCGCAGATATCAAAGACATGGGAAATAGTATTGCTAGAGAATGAAACGGATTTCTTTGAGGGCGAACTGAGGTCGAACGTTCTAGAATTGAAGACGCTGAACGCAACCAATAATGGGTCTTACGCTGTCGCGATAAGAACTAACGCGAACGAGACGATACCGTTCCAAATGAGCTACAAGATTGAGCCGCTGGATCAGACTTCGGGAGTGATTTACGCTTCAATTTTACTGCTGGGGTTGTATGTTCTGATAATATTTGAGGTGAGGATTAAGACATAATAATAACATAAGCGACATTTCCCTTAATACGTGACATTTATCTCTGTAATGAAAGGTCCGTTTTATTTGGTATAAGCATCAACAGTTCGATCTTTTTAATTAGACTTCAATTAAGTTTGCTCCATTAAAACAGCTGACGAAGTTCTTTTGTTGTGATATTTTATCCAAATTTTTTACTTTAAATGGCTCTCCTGCAAAGTAACAAAGTGCCGCCTAAACCAAATAGCCTTTTACCCATCGATATGTAGTTTAGTATAGTTGTTGGGCTGATTCGGAGATGCAGTAGTTAGCGCCCCAGACTGCTGGGCCGAAGGTCGTAGGTTCGATTCCTACGTCGGGCAAAAATTCGTGTCTGAATAGATTTGTTTTTGCTCTTTGTCTGGGTGTCATATGAACATACCAGTCTCTGGTTCCTATAGAACGGGGAATTTTTTGCCGGATGAGCGGACGTGACAAGTCACGCCTAAAGCGTAAACGCCGCCACCCCCCATGAGACCTGATTTCTTAGGTCTCAGTTTTAACAGTACAACGGTTGCCCCACCCTTCAAACCGAAACGCCTTACTGCTTCACGGTAGAAATAGGGAGGGTGGTGGTACCTACCCGTTTAATTCACAAGAGGTCCTACCAATAAATCAGCCCGTTAGCCCTTGTGAGATAAGTTCGTAGTCTAGGTCACAATCGCTGAATCGAACTTACTAAAAATGACACGAAACTAAAAATAATCAAATAAATAAAAGTTGAACAATGATATACAAAAAAAGCAGATTTTTGGTATATTAAATGCTGATAATCTTCGAACGAAGTATCCAAAGTCTAGCTTTAAGCTGCCTATATGGCCTACCTGGTGATCCATAATATATTCAATTGCAGATCATAAACCGAACCATGGCAGCAGTTATCCTGTCAACAACGGCTTTGGCCGTCCTCTCGTTACTAGGCGAAAGGCCTTCCTTGCCAGAATTGATCTCGTGGCTGGATATGGAGACGTTGCTGCTGCTCTTTAGCATGATGCTGCTTGTAGCGATCATGGCTGAGACGGGACTGTTCGACTATCTCGCCGTTTACACGTTTGAGGTACGTCTTCCGAGTCACGATGACGAACTCACGAACGATAAGTGTGCAGGACGAATCTCGCCTGGGAATTTGGAAGAACTCATCTGTCATATTCATTCATCTTGATTAATGACCGATGAAAAAGGACAAGGTTATGGGGGGTCGTATTAGAAGCAAAAGGCTGATTGTGACTGTCGTTTTCATCACAGGTTACAAGAGGGAAGATCTGGCCCCTGATCTCCGTTCTGTGCGGAATAACGGCGATGCTATCAACATTTTTAGACAACGTTACAACTGTATTACTAATGACACCGGTCACAATAAGGTAATTTATTTATATTTCGGAGCGGTTGACAGTATTATCGCTTGCGGCTGCTCAATGCGGGCTTGGTCTACACTAATCGGATCTCTACGGATCCGGCGAAAAAGTTCTTGATATTTAGAGCTTCACAATCGGTCACGACATGCAACACAGCTTCTGGACTACGATTAACTCAACAATAAGGCCGAGTACAGCCTGCTCGTCACTTCTACTTTCTTCTGCCCACATAGACGCTGTTGTATAATGTTTGTGTCGCGTTGAACGATAGTACTCCTGAGTCCTGACTCGGATTTGCATGTTGACCTAAATTAACAATGCGATTGATTAACAAAAAAGCTTTTATTCTGGAGATTAATAATCACGTTAAATGGTTCTGTAAAATGATTATGGTAGGCAATAGGCGAGAGAACGTGAAAGCCGCCATTCACCATGAGATCTGAGATATCAAGTGTATTAACTGCTAACGCGTCCTTCAAACTGGAACTCGTTTGCGGTAAGTTAGTGGGACTTACATGTGCGGACTTACAGCACGCCCTACCATTAGTAGAAATAATGAAAAATATAAAATAACGAATTTAAATCGGATAAGCAGCGATAACAAATAACTCGCAAAAAAAAACGAAATACGGTTTTTCGTTTACCTCGACGTTACATTTGTTCCAGCTAAGACAAATGATGAACATCCCCTTCTCGTAATTATCACCAATTTTCAATATTTTGTAATGTGGCGCGCCTTGTGTTCAGACATGAGGTCTAAAGATGAATGAGCGCCTTGAGACATGAGGTCGAAGTTTCAATTGCGTTATATAAACAGCTAAATAACACGATAGAAACTGACAGGATCATTGTGAATTAGCTATCAATATTGCGATCTTTTATTTTTTTAGGTTATGTGAAGTGATGGATATGGATCCTATACCTGTACTGATGTCCATGGTCATATACAGTAATATTGGTGGGACCGCTACTCCTGTAGGCGACCCGCCCAACGTTATAATAGCTTCGAATAAAGCTGTTAGTCAAGCTGTGAGTGCTAGCAAGCTTAAGATGATTTTAATTTTTTTAGTTAGTGTTTCCCATTTACACAACCATGTGAATATCGCCCGTGCAACCCAACAACACGACATTAATATCTCAGTTGTATAGTACAACGGGTGCTTCACCCCTTAAACTGGAACGCATTGATGCTTCGCAGCAGAAATGGCAGCGCTGTGATATTTACCCCTGCGGGGTCATAATACACCCTAGCACCGCTAATTACGCAAATTATATTACGAGTTGTGGTACATCGTAGAAATCATTCTTGAACATCAGCTAAGCACGCATTTCATTAGAAAAATTAGTACCGGCCTGCGGGATTCAAACACCGCCCATCCTCTCCTTCAGTGTCTGTAAGTAAATTTCACTATTCCAGGGGATAAACTTCACGAATTTCACATTGCACATGGCACTAGGAATCGTCTTCGTGTGTCTGCAGACCTACGTTCAATTGAGATTCATTTATCGAGACACGAATAGGCTACGTTTAAATGAACCAAGAGAGATACAAGGTAAATATAGCTTTCTCGTAACTCCAACCAAATTGACGACTTTACTTGAAACGTTGCGGTATTTTTAGTTAGTTTTAGCGGATAGTACTATTAGCAATAGCCTACAGACGTCCACTGCTGATATAGGCATACCTCAAGGCTCACCACAATGCCCAGTCGTAGGCTGTCGGCACCCATCGAATTCCCCGACAATGATCAGGTGCTACACCTCGGGGAAGGCCTACTCGGTACGCGGTTGCTACTCTTTTTTTTTATTGCTTAGATGGTTGGACGAGCTCACAGCCCACCTGGTGCTAAGTGGTTACTGGAGCCCATATACATCTACAACGTAAATGCGCCACGCACCTTGAGATATCAGTTCTAAGGTCTCAAGTATAGTTACAACGGCTGCCTTATCCTTCAAACCGAAACGCATTACTGCTGCACGGCAGAAATAGGCAGGGTGGTGGTACCCACCCGCGCGGACTGACAAGAGGTCCTACCACCAGTAATTACGCAAATTATAATTTTGCGGGTTTGATTTGATTTGATACTCGAGAACTTTATGGCACCAGCGTCCAATCTATGAGCTATTTGCCCTGTCAATTGTCAATCCCACCTCGCAATCCTTTGGGCTATGTTGGCTACCATGGCTCTGCAGCGAATCTCCTCATTCCAAATACGATTTTGCTATGGCAATTTAATTGAAGACTTCCGCGAATTTTCCGTATAACCGCCATTTCAGTCCTGACAGTTACGAATCAAATCACAATCGGTAACAATTCGTTAGACTGCGATATATCTTCACTTTCCGGAGTCACAGTTTTCACTGTGTCCAATAGATTGGGATTTAGATTTAAAAACCTATATATGTTTTGTTTCGTTCATAATTTCATGCAGAAACGTGGGCCGAGGTTTCATAGCTAAATCCGTCATTCTGTAAGAGTAAGACACCTTGCTATTTGGCTTATGTACCTCTGGTGTATAAGCTATGCATCAGTTTTACCCGTATTACCTCGAGAACCACAACAAAATGTTTCCTATATGTTAACCCAGGGTACTATGTGCGAAATTTCATGCGAATCCGCTGTGTCATGTTCACTTGATCGCATAACAAACATCATAACATATCGAGGGGAGATAGACTATTTGGTTTAAACGTAATTTTTTAAACTTTACTGGAGAGCCATTTAAAGATTAAAATTGGGAAAAAAAAGACATGAAAAAAAAACTTATTCAGCCATTTGAATAATGTAAACATCTTATACCTTTAAACGAGCAATTCTTGTATATATATAATCTGAATCTCGGAAACGGCTCCAACGATTTTCATAAAATTTAGTATACAGGGGATTTCGGGGGCGATAAATCGATCTAGCTACGATTTATTTTCAGAAAATGTTGTTTTATTCGTGTTTNAAAAAAGACATGAAAAAAAAACTTATTCAGCCATTTGAATAATGTAAACATCTTATACCTTTAAACGAGCAATTCTTGTATATATATAATCTGAATCTCGGAAACGGCTCCAACGATTTTCATAAAATTTAGTATACAGGGGATTTCGGGGGCGATAAATCGATCTAGCTACGATTTATTTTCAGAAAATGTTGTTTTATTCGTGTTTTCAATAATCAACACTATTACAACAACAATATTACTATTTTTCTTAATTGAGGGCAACTAACCGCTTTAAAGACACAACAAGATGGCGTTATCAATAAAAAAGGAGCAAAGGTCGCTCATCATCTAGTAATTATTGAAGTTCAATTAAAAACATCGAATTGTTGATTCTAATACCAAATAAAACGGAACTTTAATTACAAAGATATATGTCGCGAAAATCTACCCCTCGATATAAGCTGTCATATTTTATATAGTATTAATAGGATTCGAACAAAATGCTCCTAGAAAAAGCAACATGACTGTAGTGCATATTTAAACTAGTGCGTTATTTAAGTCGTTCGTCTATTACTGACAATTATATTAAACTGTTTACGCCATTGGATATAATTAAAATGTTTGTTAATGAATGTGGTTCGTTCATTGCAGCGATAATAGGCCTTTTAATTAAGCATGTTGTGTGTATAGCCTAGAATAGTACTGCCATTTCCTCGAGATGTACAAGAGAGTAAGAGAGTCATTGGAGAATGGAAAACAGCAGCTTTGTTTAGTATAGAGGCACACTACAATCGCCAATACGTGTCTCGATGTTAATGGTCCAAATTGTTACTACCTTTTTCCCCCTACGTATTCGCTGGTAACCTAAGAGGCTATTCACGATAAGCCTGGACGGGTAGGTGAGCTCACGAGCTCAAGCTGAAAGAATTTGCTAACACTAGCCCTAGTAAGAGCAGTGCTTTGCAGAATCTACCACCGGATCGGAATCGCGACCCACTGAGAAGATCCGGTGAGAAACTCAGTCGCCATTTTACTACATAACCGAGACTTTTTCCTCGTATCTGAAGATTTTTGATAGCAATTACTTAGTAGTGTCTATGGGGCGTTTAGGATTAAGCGCTATCACCCGTCTATGAAACAAGAATAAAAAAATAGGGTGCTTATTTTGAGATGTTTCCTTCTCGTATACCTTTAGGAGCTACTGATCGGGGATTAATGTGGAACAGAATAGAATTTCTTTGATTAATATTGATGATTTTACTCAGATCTTCGCCAGCAAATCTCGATATGGCGTCGCGCCGCCGACTCTCTCCCGCATCTCAGTAGAGACGAACAGGTGGTCAGAGAGAGACTGGACAAGAAGATACGCAAATTGACTTCCCAGTTGGAGCTTTTCGTTAAGGAGAGTAAAAAGAGAGCCTGCCCTAAGACCACATTCAGGAGCACCTTGGCCGAGATGAAAGAGAAGGTGGGTTCATTGGTCTACGTGTATAGGCAGATAAGTTCATCGCAAATAAAGTAGTCAAAGTGAAACGGTTATCTCTGAAGGTCGAATGGCTGCTATATCATCCAAATGAGATTTCGCCATCAAACCTTTGCACAATATGTTATGCACAGTGCGTTTGCAATGACCCTTTTGACCACGTACCAAGCGGAATTCACTTCCATCCAGGGTTCCGGAGCGCCATGACATTTCTTTATGTTGAGCGCCATGACATGACATGTTTGACATCCATTACCAACGGTGACCACTGACTATCAGATGGACCATATTATACTCTTTTTTATTTTATTTTTATCGCCTTCGTAGGCAGATGAGCATACGGCCCATCTGATGGTGAGTGGTTACCGTCGCCCATAGACTTCAGCAATGTCAGGGGCAGAGCCAAGCTGCTGGCGCTGCATGAGACATGAATCCCAAGCTGTTCTATAGCACTAGCCTGGTAGAACATATGCCATAGTCCTGTGGCATTGGACTTCATTATTAGCAAAGGACACAATGATCTCTGGAGATGCTATCTTGATGATCCTCGTATCATAAGCGCGCTTAATCGATTGACTTTGAAGCACGAAAACATTATGGCATTCGATTCCACGTGCCCACTCTTGTTCGCAGTACAAGATTCGCAATAAGCCGTTATTGGCGAAATCTTCAGTGGCCATCGGTTTCGTCGTGCTTGTGTTCTTCTTGCACTCCATACCCGAATTCAGTGAGTAAACGTTTTGATCTAACCAATATATGGGTAGTACAGGACTATCTTTCTTTTGTTAGGGGACTGGAAGGCTTGCAAAGCGTGACAGGTCTACTGATTCTTCGTATGACAGATGTCTTTAACGAAGCTACCGATGAGGTCGTATCAGGAGGCTCTAGATCCCTAGTTACCGATCTCATCAGAGTCGAATCTGAACAGGAGGTGGATTAGGCAAGGTTTGTCTACGGTAACCCAAAAGGAGGTACTTAAAATCATTATTGAAAAGTCTGGTATTTCCCAGACCGCGTGTCCCTGGGTTGGACGGCGTTGCTGGGCGCAATCCTGCTGCTGATCCTGGCGGACCGCGAGGACCTGGAGCCGGTGCTGCACCGAGTCGAGTGGTCCACACTACTGTTCTTCGCGGCACTCTTTGTTTTTATGGAGGTCAGTGCTCTCGCACAACTCTAGTGCCGTAGCAGCTATATGAAGCTACTATTACTTATGGACATCAACAATGCCGGTATTACAGTGAAGCCGCCAGAAATAGTTTGACTATATGAATTTTTGGTGTTTGGCATCATTTTGTTTTCGATTTAAGGTTTACAATATGGCACCCACTTTGAAACATGATATGGAAGTCTCAATGGTATAGAATACGAATCCTCACGGACAGACAAAATTGTCGGGAATCGGATAATGACAATAAACATCACGAGACTCATAAAATTATTTTTAACTAGAGGTCCCGCAGTAGTCGAAATTCGACTATAATTAATTGGATTTTAAGTTTGTACACTATTATGATTGTATTTTATACTTCTATAATTACAAATTTCGCCAAGACTACATTTTAAAAAATATTAACAAAGACAAACAATATTTTATCTATTCTCAATTTGACAACAGACGTCAAGAACAAAAGTTTGACAATAAATAGTATGCATGCGTGTGTGCGTCAAATACATGGTATGTAGTGTGTGTAATGTTTTCTTTAATGATTTAATGTATCTTTTATGCATTATTAAAAAAAAAAATTAGCATTGTGCACTTCTTCTCTATATTCTCTATAAGTGTGGAAAATTTCATACTCCTCCGTCCGCGCAATTTTCGTAAAAAGGGATACAAAGTTTTTGCTTCACGTATTAATATATAGATTATGTCAAATGTATGTACGCATGTAATTATGTACGCATTTTCGTTGGACCAAAGTCCAACCTTCAAGGGCCAACTTTCAGAAGAACGAATGGAGGAATTCATTTGCTTATTCCAGGCCCTCTCGAAGTTGGGGCTCTTCGTTTTCATTGGAGGCCTCACGGAGTCCATCATTCTCAAGGTGGACGAAAGTGCTAGACTGGCCGTGGCGATACTGCTTATTTTGTGGGTAGGTAGTTTGTACTTTAAGCAATTAGATTTAAAGTTGAAAATCGTGTACCATATTTGTACACGTCCTTACGGATCGATCAGATCCAATAACCTTTGCATTAGACGCCTTCAGCTCTAACACACTCTAACTCTAACTTCATCACGATATTAGTGCGTGACCCTACCAATCTACCGCAGTCTGGCTACACCAACTGACGAATCCAACGCTTGACCCTCACGAATCCACCCAATCCACTCCCAGTACTGATAAACGCTATTGACACAAGTCAGGACGTCGAAGAGGCTGACGTGACACTTTACACATATCATCAGCCCAGAGAAATTCAGAGGAGTGTGGAAGAAGAAAACATCTTGCGCCCACCTTAGGTGACTGGGAGAAAGGCAGGAGAATGAAGATGAGTTTGGCCACATGAGACCTATACTGACTTTGACTCCGATCGTTGGGCCAATGATGCGATTAAGGCTTTATGTTGGCCACACGACTGGCTCCCCAAAAGGTCAACAATAAACATTTCAGGTGTCAGGTTTGACGTCGGCCTTCGTAGACAACATCCCGCTGACGACCATGATGATCAGAGTGGTGACCTCGCTCGGGTCGAACCCGAACCTCAATCTTCCGATGCAACCGCTGATCTGGGCACTTTGCTACGGAGCTTGTCTGGGAGGTGAGTACGGCTGATCTCATATATAACTCAATTTATTGTTACAGTACCCGCCGTTAAATACCGCACATCGTGACATGTTGACTTCTGTCAGTAGTTCAAGTCGTGCTAATGTCACGTGCGACAGAGATAACGCTCTGCAAAGCCAAAAGTAACAGTCTGTCTCTTTCCAAAGGACGGTGTGTTTTCTTAATTACCCATAAGATCGAAGTCTTAATACATACTGCTGCATTTTTTGCCCTTGTAGGCAGTCGAGCATACGCCCGTCTGATGGCGAGTGGTTACCGTCGCCCGTGGACGTCAGCAATGCCAGGGGCAGAACCAAGCCGCTACCTAAGTACTCTCCACAAGCCTCGTTTGAAGAAGGACATGTCATAGCGCTCGGAAAATACCGTGAAGGGGAGCTCATTCCAAAGCCGGATGGTACGTGGCAAAATGTGGTAGAAACCTCCACAGTATTCCCTAGACGCCATGACGTGACCATTTTCAAAGTTCGAGAATAGTCTTGTCGATGTCGAGATAGGCAGTGCCTATCATTTTCACTGGTCATTCATTTTTACTACTACTCGGGAGGGGCAGCCGTTGTAACTTTATACTTAAGGCCTTAGTGCTTATATCTCAAGGTGGGTGGCGCATTTACGTCGTAGATGTCTATGGGCTCNACAGTATTCCCTAGACGCCATGACGTGACCATTTTCAAAGTTCGAGAATAGTCTTGTCGATGTCGAGATAGGCAGTGCCTATCATTTTCACTGGTCATTCATTTTTACTACTACTCGGGAGGGGCAGCCGTTGTAACTTTATACTTAAGGCCTTAGTGCTTATATCTCAAGGTGGGTGGCGCATTTACGTCGTAGATGTCTATGGGCTCTGGTAACGCTTAACACCAGGTGGGCAGTGAGCTCGTCCACCCAACTAAGAAATAAAAAACATTGAAGCGGTATAGACCTAACCGGGCCCTCCTTACCAGGTAACGGTACCCTGATAGGCGCGAGCGCCAACGTGGTCTGCGCTGGCGTGGCTGAGCAACACGGATACAAGTTCACCTTCATGAACTTCTTCAAAATAGGCTTCCCGATCATGATAGGCCACTTGGTCGTAGCCTCACTGTACCTGATTATATGCCACTGCGTTTTTGCCTGGCATTGATCTCTGACCGTATTAGGACTTAACTGCTGGAAGCGGATTTAAAGACTCACTTCCAGGTCATCCGTCCGCAAATGTTACCCCACCTTAGTTATTAACTTAGTATTCTGTATAGTATTAAGGTCCAAGGCTCGCAAAAGCCGAGCGGTAAGATCAAAGAGATGTGTGTAAATAAGCAGTAATGTACTGCGAAATCATTAGGGATTAATGGAAACTGACCTCCTTACTTTTGCGTGCTCACTATGTCGAGTAGGGATAAAGAGCAGACTGCACATGTGCAAGTATCCGTCGTAAACCGACAGAGAAGGGGGCGCCACTGTTGCGTGCGGTATAATCAAAGATGGCGTCAAAAGTAATTACATCTAATCATTCATTTCGGCTCAAAACTGCTGCATTCAAAACAAACTACTTAGTTCGCTCCCTAAAGCCGGACACTATTTCAACTTTTTCTTCTTCTACCCTCCATATGGAGGTATTCTTAATTTGTAAGATTAAAAACAAATGTAGGGTAGATTCATAAGCCCCTAACAAGGCTTTCTTTTATCGCGATTTATATTTAATTTTAACATTGCCGTCGTTACTTAAGGTATATTATAAAATAGAAAGAAGAAGAGAAATTTGATATCATTAACTATTGTTAATAAACTACTGAAAACTTATAATACTTTTTGCGTATTTATTATTCATCATCTCACCCAATAAGCCTGTTACAAATCATTCTGTCTCTTTTACTCTAATCATATTTGTGCTACGTACAAAAGAGACACAGTACTTTGCAAAATTTACTGTGGTTTTGTCTTGGATGAAATTTTCCATAATACATATTATTGCTAAACTTAGCTTTTAAGAGATAACAGTTCTTGCCAGAACTTCCGAAAGTATTTTTACGATATTAATAAATATTTCTCTGTACATGAATAGTTTAAGAGCTTAATTAAATTATAATATTAAAACACATAAATAAAGAGAGTATAGCGCTGATAACTGATCTAGTAAAAAAACCTGACACTGGATCTCCAGTCCAAAGTACTTTAAGAATCTCCTAGATTGGAGAATGATTTTCTGTATGTGATTTAGATAGATAGACTAGTTAGATACTTAGATTTATAATTCATGAAAGGATATTTGGTTTAAGCGTCATTTCGCTTAATACGGGACATTTATCTTTGTAATTAAAGGTGCGTTATTTGTTTTTGACGTTTTTAATTGTTTAATTCTAATAAGTTTACTCCATAGATTTTTTTTTGTTATGACACTTTTTCCAAATTTTGATTGACTTTAAATGGCTCTCTTGGAAAGTTGCAAAAATGTCGCTTAAACCAAATACCTTTTTTTTATCCTGCCTATGCTGATAGCCTTGAGAGGCTACTTCAGCTTTGTAGATGAGCTCACGGGGCTCAAACCGGAGTGTTGCTAACACTGGCCCTAGCAAGAGCAGTGCTTCGCAGAATCTACCACCGGATCGGAAACACGACCCACTGAGAAGATCCGCCGAGAAACTCAGTGGGCTGTGTCTATGGGTTAATTCGCTCGTCGAGCCTTTCGTCGCAAGCGACGGGTTCGGCGAGGGCGGTGGCCGGTGCTTGTGGTACTTAAAAGCACCGTCAATGGATCGGGAGGATCCGTAATGACGTGTTTGCCTCCTTCGAGTTCGATATATATTTATTTTATTTATTTATTATGTACATACAAAAAAGAAGACATAGTACAGAGTAATAGGAATATTATGTACAAAGGCACTTCTTATTTCTTTAAGAAATCTCTTCCAGCAGACCTGCGAGAGGATTATGAGAATAATAATTAAAAGTGATGAGTGTGTGTAGATCAGCTAAAATAATAAATACAACATGAGAATTATAGTAATGCACATACACATAGCAAATATTGTTAAACTTGAATACAAAATATTATAATCAAATATAATGTTGACAGAGTTATTATATTTAATTAATTGAGTGTGTTACAAATTTTTTTTAAGTTAATTTTGAATGTTTTATAAGCAATCTTAAAATCGAAAGACGAATTATTCTAAACTCAAAAATAAAAAAAGTAAAGTTTATAAAAAGTTTATAAAAGTTAATTATTATTATGCATAAATGAATTTACATAGTAATTAATTAATTTTATTAATTACGTTTCAAGGTTTAATTTAGATCGTTTTTTTGTTTATGTAAATGTGTTTTTGTTTGTACATTTCTATGAAATAAATGTATGTAAGCTGTAATGTGTTTTTCATTTGTGCCATTCTTCTTCTTAGTCGAATAATTCATTGCTGAAGGTCGTGTCCTTGAAAGCCCTTCGTGGCTCTTTGTACCCTCAGCTTCCATTTGCTTCGGTTTTCGGCTTCTCTCAGGGCGATCGCAACAGACAATCCAGTGAGCGCAATTATCTTATCCGACCAACGGTTTGGTGGCCGGCCGGCCATTTGTGCCATAAGGACACCTATTTCCATATCCTGTTTTCTAAGCGTTAAGAAGTCCTGTATTCTGTAATTTTCTTGACACCCAAACTGGGTCGCGGTAGTTTATTCTTTTTTATTGCTTAGATGGGTGGACGAGCTCACGGCCCATCTGATATTAAGTGGTTACCGGAGCCCATAGACGTCTACAAAGTAAATGCGCCACTCACCTTGAGATATAAGTTCTAAGGTCTCAAGTATAGTTACAACGGCTGTCCCACTCTTCAAACTGAAACGCATTACTGCTTCACGGCAGAAATAGGCAGGTTGGTGGTACCTACCCGAGTGGACTCACAAGAGGTCCTACCACCAGTAAAAGTGTAAAAAGTTTTGTTTTGTACCGTTGGTTTCCTATATTAATAAATAAATGATGTTGTCTGAATCGATATAGATTTTTATCGATTTTCTTCTATTCGATGTTCGAAATCACTTTAAAATCTTACTCTAAGTCTCACTTTTAACAGTACAACGGCTGTTAAGTTATGACTTTTATCTACTTATTCTTTTTTTTAAGAGATTTTATGACCTGGTAACTAAGACATTTAAGTCATGTCTTGTTTTAATTTATATTCTTCTTTTTATGAAAAATGATAATATGGAGTTAAATGAAATGAAGATGATTAATTTGAGGCTTTAATTAACTGGGATGAAATTAAATGAGATGAGATGAAATGATAAGGGATGAAATATACCTAATCTCAGTAAAATGGTGGTCATTTACTGAAATTTTTTTAGTGGACTTTTTGGAGGATCCCGAGAAGTTACGTCCAGCGGCTTTGTTACATTTTCCCACATTTGTGCACTTTCACAGATATTAAGCAGTTAATAAACCACCGTTATTACACATTTAAACCTGAAGAAACACTAAATAGACAAAATAAAACAAATCACACAACTTCACTCCTCGCGTTCCCGCCAAGAAGTTCATCTACTAATTCCAATCTGAAACATACATTGATGTATTACAATAAAGATACTCCGAAATTTAAATGATACTAGTTACACTGTTAAGAGTAACGCCATCTGTAATTGAATAGCAGAAATGAATATCAAAAAAACTAGTCAAACCGAGAACGCTCGCGAATTGCAACGCCGTCTATTATCAAATAGCGGAAACACGTCAATACTACTCGACCTGTCGAGAACGTTCTTGATAATTCCAGGGATGTTGTATCGACTATAAAAACGTTGCAGAGATGACACGAAGCAGTTAATAATCGGTTCTACTCGAAGCGAAACAGCGAACTGATCACCTAAAGCGAAGCGGAAGTAGTGAATTGAGAATTTTAAAGTGTTCTGTAAGCGTTCTAAGTGTTGAATAGAGTTTTAATTTGTACTTCGGTTGAAGTTTTATTTATTCCGAACCCCAGCGCGTAACAGTAGGTACGTACAAAATTCCCGAGTTAAATTAGTTTATTTTGTGTGTCCGTATTTAGAAAATCTTTCGTATAGATAGAAAACAATTTTTCTCTAGCCATAGTTGAATCATCATCGTCGAAGACTTTGGTACAGCCTACTTCTCTCAATGGCACCTGGACGCTATTTATTTTACAATTAACGTGTTTATAAATAGCCATGCCATGCCATATCTAAAGAACTCTTTGTAGTCAACAAAGAGTTCTTATAACGTTGGTGTGTAGTCGCACAGTATGTACTACGTAGAAATATAGACCTCATCGCTATAAATAAAAATAAAAAACGGTTTATTCACTTTTTTTTTATTATCGTCACGGATTTCGACTAGCAAACTAACTCATAGACACAGCCCACTGAGTTTCTCGCTGGATCTTCTGAGTGGGTCGCGATTCCGATCCGGTGGTAGATTCTGCGAAGCACAGCTCCTGCTAGAGCTAGTGTTAGCAATTTTCTCAGGTTGAGTTCGTGAGCTCACCTACCCGCCCGGGCGTACCTGCAATAGTCTCTTAGACCACCAGCGGATAGGTAGGGGAAAAAAAACTTAATTTCTAATACTTTACATTTATCAGTTATTGTAAACACGAGATTAAAAACCGTAAAAGTGTTTTTAAAGTCTATGACACATAGTTAAAAATTTCCATTATTATTGTTGTTACGTGTTACGCTAACAATAGATAGTAACAGAGTGAATGCCGCGGCCCGCCTTGAGGCTTGAGGACGAAGTCCGTGCTGCGTCAACCTTAGAATTGGAATGCGGACTGACTGCATCGCGGCATTAGCAGTTAGGACTGTGGGATTTACCCTAGCGGGCTTCCTATAACCCTGCCCCTCGAGTAAATACCGTACATTGCTCAGACTACGCTGCCAACATTCCCGATCCTGCAGACCGAATGGTAAACAGTCGACATCGCCCAAAGCACGTCATTTCGGATCCTCCCGATCCACTAATGGTGCTTTTAGGTACCCCAAGCACTGATCACCGTTCTCGTCGAACCCGTCGCTTGCGACGTAGGTCTCGGCGACTGAATTAACCCACAGAATTTCTTGCTCGATCTTCTCAGTGGGTCCCCTTTCCGATCCGGTGGTAGATTCTGCGAAGCACGGCTCTTGCTAGGGTTCGTGTTAGCAACGTCGTCAGGTTTGAGCCCCGTGAGCTCACCTACTAGTTAGGGTTACGCTGAAATGGCATCTCAAGGCCATCAGCTTAGGTAGGGAAAAAAATACTGCCGTCCAGTCTCCAGTGAATCCCTTAGTTGCCTCAAAACACCAGTGTGCTTAGGGCGAGTTTTTTAACGTTCTCGATAGCGTATAAGTTAACTCAAATTTGTATGCAGTTGGAACGTTTTCCTACGTTTACCGCTAGGGGCGCTGTTCCAATCTCGCAAACTCGCACTTAGCACACAGGCCCAAGAGACTAAAGAGAGAATAGTGCTGTGCTAGCCCACAGTCGATGTTTATCCTTGAAGACATCCCTATTATTAGAATTTAATTATATGCGTCTTTGATATCATGCCAATTACAATGAACACGTTTGATGACATATTTATATATCTAAATATATGTATGTAATATGTAAATACACAATGTTTTAATCGATGATATTTATATGGTAATTTTAACGATTCTATGTTTACATAATATGTATGAACTGGTTTCCGAAATAAATGATGCTAATTTTAATTTTAATTTAATGATAAAACAGTTGAGTATAATTTTCTCGGGTGTTTCCCAAACGATTTTATTTTTATTTCTTACTCGATATCCATTTACGAGTTTTTGTGTTATCAAGAGTACTTTGTTTTAGTAGTATTTTAGAAGTATACAAAAAAAGGAAAGTCTTCCACCGAGCGGGTGATATTGTTCGATAGACCGACGGTCCGAATGTCGTTGTTCGGACCTTGTTTAATAATATGTCGCAACTCGCATCCAACACGTGATAAACTAAGCGCCATCTGTCGGCGTTCTATGGAGTCAACTATTCACCAGCCAAGCGAAGCACACGACTAACATTAATCGCGTGGCAGTCATCATTATTGGAGCCTTTATACTAGGACGACTCTACCCTATGCTTTGTAGACGAAGCAAACTGTCCCTCCGTAATAAGGTAACTCTTTACAAAACTTGCATACTCCCCGTCATGACGTATGCAAGCGTAGTGTTCGCTCACGCGGCCCGCAGTAACTTGAAACCCCTTCAGGTTATTCAATCCCGATTCTGCAGGATAGTCGTCGGAGCACCATGGTTCCTGAGGAACGTGGATCTCCACGATGACCTGGAACTCGACTCTGTCAGTAAGTATCTACAGTCGGCATCGCTGCGCCACTTTGAGAAGGCGGCACGACATGAGAACACTCTTGTCGTGGCCGCTGGAAACTACATACCCGATCCTGTAGACCGAATGGTAAACCGTCGACGTTGCCCAAAGCACGTCATTACGGATCCTGCTGATCCATTAACGGTGCTTTTAGGCACCAGAAGCACCGGTCACCGTCCTCGTCGAACCCGTCGCTTGCGACGAAGGGCTCGACGAGCGAATTAACCCATAGACACAGCCCACTGAGTTTCTCGCCGGATCTTCTCAGTGGGTCGCGTTTCGGATCCGGTGGTAGATTCTGCGAAGCACTGCTCTTGCTAGGGTCAGTGTTAGCAACACTCCGGCTTGAGCCCCGTGAGCTCACCTACACACGTTAGGGTGAAGCTGAAATAGCCTCTCAAGGCTATCAGCATAGGTAGGAAAAAAAAACTGGTGGTAGGACCTCTTGTAAGTCCGCACGGGTAGTTTTTTTTTTAGGAGACGATTGGACGGGCTCGCAACCTACCAGGTGTTAAGTGGTTACCGGAGCCCACAGACATCTATAACTTAAATGCCGCCATCCACTTTGAGACATGAGTTGTAAGATCACTTTTAACAGTACAACGGCTGCCCCTCCCTTCAAACCGAAATGCATTACTGCTTCACGGCAGAAATAGGCAGGGTGGTGGCACCTAACCTTGTGTACTCGCAAGAGGTCCTACCACCAGCTTCAGTGGCGTCTGGATACGTTGCGCTATCCAAGCTTGCAGACCGAAAGTTTTAGTGTCGAGTCTGCTCAATGGTCTGGGTGAAAAATCGGACGTCGCCCGATTTTCTGCTCCATTGAATTGAAGAAAATTGTGAAGGTTGAGGTAAATAGGCTGTTGGTATTAATCTCTCCTCGGAAGCAAAGTTGAATCAGTGTGATTAGTGCGAGTTTTTTAACGTTCTCGATAGCGTAAAAGTTAACCCAACTTTGTATGCAGTTTTTTTTATTTTTTTTATTGCCTTTGTAGGCAGACGGGCATACGGCCCACCTGATGGTGAGTGGTTACCGTCGCCCATGGACTTCAGCAATGCCAGGGGCAGAGCCAAGCCGCTGCCTACCGCTTAATACTCTCCATAAGCCTCGTTTGAAGAAGGACATGTCATAGCGCTCGGGAAACACCGTGGAGGGGAGCTCATTCCATAGCCGGATGGTACGTGGCAAAAAAGACCTCTGGAAACGCACTGTGGATGACCGCAGTGGCTCCAGGTAGTATGGATGAACTCTACTCCGGTGGCGGGCGGTGCGATGGTAAAAACGAGATGCCGGTATCATCTCGAACAATTCCTCAGAGCACTCCCCATGGAACATACGGTACAAAATACAGAGGGAACCGAAGTCCCTCCGCAGACCCAGAGGCTCCAAACGATCCGTGAGAATGGGATTATCGACAATCCGAACGGCCCTCCTCTGTATGGAGTCAAATGGAAGAAGCTGGTATTTGGGAGCCCCGGCCCAGAGATGGGAGCAGTACTCCACGCGAGGCCGGACTTGTGCTTTATAAAGCAAAAGCCTTTGTCCAGGCGTGAAGTACCGCTTCGCTCTGTTGAGGACTCCCAGCATTTTGGACGCCAACTTGGCTTTGCCTTCCAAATGACTCCGAAACTGGACATCGCTCGAAATGTCGACCCCAAGTATCCCAATACTCTCGGAAGGTTGCAGGGATACTCCTTGGAATTGCGGCGCCATGACAAAGGGGTCCTTCTTCGCAGTGAACGCGCAAACTTGTGTCTTTAACGGGTTGAATTGAACCAAGTTCAATTCACCCCATTTGGAGACTCGCCCCAGAGAGTTCTCCACTTCAGACACAAGTTTTGATCGTCTCTCTTGCACCACGCTCCGAGAGAGACTCTGATGGCCGATATATCGCGCATCCCCCGTGCTGTCATCCGCATAGCAATGCATGCCATCAATAGACAGCATGTCATTGATATACAGGATGAAAAGCGTGGGGGAGAGCACCGAACCTTGTGGAACGCCAGCGTTAATGGTCATGGTATCAGAACAGTCACCGTCTACAACGACCGTGATGCTCCGCCCATCCAAAAAGCTAGCGATCCACTTGCAGAGACCCTCGGGGATTCCGTAAGATGGTAGCTTCGATAGAAGTGCCCTATGCCAGACCCTGTCGAAGGCCTTCGCGATATCAAGGCTCACAGCAAGAGCCTCGCCCTTGCTCTCCAAGGCTTCAGCCCACCTGTGAGTAAGGTATACAAGAAGATCGCCAGCTGAGCGACCGTGACGGAAACCGTACTGTCGGTCACTGATCAGCTGGCGATCTTCAAGATACTTCAGGAGTTGTGTATTGTTGGAACAGCGCCGGCAAACGTTCCAATTCCTTGCGTTTGGTCCAACGTTTGCCTAAGTTTGCTGCTAGGGGCGCTATTCCGACTCCATACAAATTTGAGATAACTTTTACGCTATCGACAACGTTAAAAAACTCGCACTAATGCAGTATGCATTGAAAGAAGTTCCAAAGCTTTATTTTGCATGATAATAAAACGAAGGGTAAAAATAACACAGCTTAGTCATCGCAATACATCTTACTGTCCGTCCTTGTTCGCATTTGACTGGAATTCCGCTGCAAAGCGCTCGGTAATTAACTGTGTATGTAGGTTGCAAAACTTAAAAAATATACAAAAAAGAAGTTAATATAATAAACCGAACTAACAATTGATTTTATCTTTTTTTAATCAGTTCATACTGATCATGATATTAGAGCGAGATTATAAAATTATTGTATTGTCTTTTTTTCCCTACTTATGCTGATAGCCTTGGGAGGCTATTTCAGTTTCTCCTTGACGTGTAGGTGAACTCACGGGGCCCAAACCGGGAGTGTTGCTAACACTGGCCCTAGCAAGAGCGGTGCTTCGCAGACTCTACCACCGGATCGGAAACGCAACCCACTTAAGATCCGGCGAAAAACTCAGTGGGCTGTGTCTAAGGCTTAATTCGCTCGTCGAGCCCTTCGTCGCAAGCGACGGGTTCGACGAGGACGGTGACCGGTGCTTGGGGTACCTAAAAGCACCGTTAATGGATCGGGAGGATCCGTAATGACTTGCTTAGGGCGACGTCGACTGTTTTCCATTCGGTCTACAGGATCGGATATGATTTTGTATTGTCATTTTCTCTATTCGCCCGCAAATTTTCAAGGTAATCCGATGTCATATAGTCCGTGAACGACGTTCAAAGATTGACGAACATACATACATAGTTAATAAATTTAATATTCTACATAGATAATATTTTTTACTGGTGGTAGGACCACTTGAGAGTCCGCACGGGTAGGTACCACCACCCTGCCTATTTCTGCCGTGAAGCAGTAATGCGTTTCGGTTTGAAGGGTGGGGCAGCCGTTGTAACTATACTTGAGACCTTAGAACTTATATCTCAAGGTGGGTGGCGCGTTTACGTTGTTGATGTCTATGGGCCCCAGTAACCACTTAACACCAGGTGGGCTGTGAGTTCGTCCACCCATCTAAGCAAAAATAAAAAATTAATAAAAAAAAACATATAATATCCATATTGAGCTAATAAAAGCGTGCTAAAATACTTCAGGGTCTAAGCCAAATAGCCGATTATAAACCGCGCCATAGCCTATANAGGTGGGTGGCGCGTTTACGTTGTTGATGTCTATGGGCCCCAGTAACCACTTAACACCAGGTGGGCTGTGAGTTCGTCCACCCATCTAAGCAAAAATAAAAAATTAATAAAAAAAAACATATAATATCCATATTGAGCTAATAAAAGCGTGCTAAAATACTTCAGGGTCTAAGCCAAATAGCCGATTATAAACCGCGCCATAGCCTATATTTAGAGCAACTCTCGTCTGTGAAGTCGCAGCCTTATCTGTAGGCGTCTACCACAATAAAGGCGAAAAAAAAAAAAAAAAAAACGATAAAAACATTAGCCAATGTGAGTTGTGACGTTTTAAATCCAGTTGTGTAACAGACTTTGAGTGTATCGCACGCGCATTGAACGATAATAATATTTAACATCGAAATACGGTTTTAAACGATAAAATAAATGGCTTCGTTGTGTTAAAAGTGATTTAATTTGAGAACTAAAAGTGCACAGTGAACCCATTAACAAATTGATCATTGTTAAATGTAAGTTTTTTTTTCGTTTTAATATATAATATAAAATCATTTATTTGTGTTTATTGTTTGCTATCTCGCGTGCCTTGAATGCTATTTTCTGTATTCGAAGTCTTTCCTGTCCGTCAGCTGATAATATTATTATTGTCATGCCGACGGCATTATTAGAGACAGCATTTATATTTGTTATTAAATATTGTTGATACAATTTTCAGCTAAACAACCATAAAGTCCTTTTCAATGCGTCACTTCGGAATGTGACAAATTAATTCGGAGACTACCTACAATAGCTTTGAAATAAAACTGTATTATACTAACGATTTCAATACAAAAACGGCAAAAACGATTGTTTATTGAAATTTATGGCTGCTTTAGATTATTTATAGGAATGAATCTGTCTCCGGTTCGTTAATGAAGGTTATTTAACTTGCCCGTTTTGTGTGTTTGTTTATTTAAGTTGATCTTTGAAACAGTTGAGCTAATTCGCATGATTTTTTTTTATTTTTTTTCTTACCTATTCTGGTGACCTCGGGGGGTCATTCTATATTCACCTAACGAGTAGATCAACTCACGAGGCTCTAATCTGGTGACGTTGCTAACACTAGCCTTAGCAAGAGCAGTGCTTCGCAGAATCTACCACCGGACCGAAAACGCGATCCACTGAGAAGATCCGGTGTGGAGCTCAGTGGGCTGTGTCTGTAGATTTTTTATTTTTTTTTATTGCTTAGATGGTTGGACGAGCTCACAGCCCACCTGGTGGTAAGTGGTTACTGGAGCCCATAGACATCTACAACGTAAATGCGCCACCCACCTTGAGATATAAGTTCTAAGGTCTCAGTATAGTTACAACGGCTACCCCAGTCCGCTAATCTAAATTGATGTGCATGAAGTGTAATAAAGAAATTAAAAAAAGAAGAAGAAAAAACGGAAGTTTTACAACGACAAGTACTTTAATAGAATTATATTCTTTACACGCAACTTTCTTATTTTACTTTTATTTTCATTTTAAATCAAGAATTAAACAAAAGCGAATGTAAATGTATTATATGAGTCGTCTATTATCAAAGGTGGCAATATGTGCATTTGGACAAAAAAATGTTATTGATATGTCAATACAGATTGATTTGAATATAATCGTCTCCTTCAAAGAATACGGTTCAAAACCTGAATTAAATAAAGGTTAATACTTAACCTCTTATTTATCTAAGATGTCGTTCAGAAGAGTTTTGTGACTGCCAATGGAATACAAAGTCAATAATTCGTTTTTCTGCTTTACCAATAATTGTCCAAAAGTCACATTGCCGGCTTTGATAATAGTCGACTCATATGTAGAAGGATTATTAGGGTGGACAATTAAGAAACTTTACATCCACACGAAATAATTATTCTCTTTAATAACACGTTAGGACGGGTAGAATATGAATGATTCAGAAATATCGTAACCGCCGGTATTTATACAATCATCTTTATCTCTTTTAATACAAACTTAATAGGTAATATTAAACATTCTTTACGTTAATTTTTCTGTTAATTATTTACGTGCAATTATTAAATAATAATTAATTTAAAATAATAATTATTAAATAATAATATCGAATTATATAACATAAATAACATTAAAGGCTTATTGCGCCCGAAGCTCTCAAGCGGAAGGCGCCAGTAAAATATCTATATATTAATACGTGAAGCAAAAACTTTGTATCCCATTTTACGAAAATTGCGCGGTCGGAGGAGTATGAAATTTTCCACACTTATAGAGAATATAGAGAAGAAGTGCACAATGCTAATTTTTTTTTAAATAATGCATAAAAGATACATTAAATCAATAAAGAAAACATTACACACACTACATACCATGTATTTGACGCACACACGCATGCATACTATTTATTGTCAAACTTTTGTTCTTGACGTCTGTTGTCAAATTGANCTTGTGTATGCCGATAACGTCCGCTTCTTTCCACGCCGCGGGAAAGATGCAGTTCGTCATAGCAGCATTTAATATCGTGGCCAACATCGTTATCAGTTGGGCTGGTAACAGTTTTAGCGCGCGGTTGCGGATGCCGTCGGAGCCGGGAGCTTTCCGTGGTTGTAGGCTATCGATCGCCTCCTTAACCTCGGAAGTGGTAATGGGGATTCAGAAATATGCTAACCGCCGGTATTTATACAATCATCTTTATCTCTTTTAATACAAACTTAATAGGTAATATTAAACATTCTTTACGTTAATTTTTCTGTTGATTATTTACGTGCAATTATTATTTAATAATATAGACTTATATAACATAAATAACATTAAAGGCTTATTGCGCCGGAAGCTCTCAAGCGGAAGGCGCCAGTACGTGAAGCAAAAACTTTGTATCCCATTTTACGAAAATTGCGCGGACGGAGGAGTATGAAATTTTCCACACTTATAGAGAATGTAGATAAGGAGTGCACAATGCTAATATTTTTTTAAAATAATGCATAAAACATACATTATCAATAAAGAAAACATTACACACACTACATACCATGTATTTGACGCACACACGCATGTATATTATTTATTGTCAAACTTTTGTTCTTGACGTCTGTTGTCAAATTGAGAATAGATTAAATATTGTTCGTCTTTGTTAATATTTTTTATAGTGTAGTCTTGGCGAAATTTGTGATTATAGAAGTATAAAATACAATCATAATAGTGTACAAACTTCCAATTCCAATTACTTATAGTCGAATTTCGACTACTGCCCTTCGGCCCTACCAGACCTGCCCTTCGGTCTTTTGCCCTTTGACACGGAAATAAACAAAGCGAAATCAAACAACCAAAGTATTATATTTTTGTAGCAGTATCTGTTTATGATTTTAACAGTTTTCAAAGATTTCTAGCAAAAAAAAAATTTAATGACAATGTAGATGAAAACAATTAAAAATGCATTATTATGGTTAACCAAAAAACTTCTGATCGGATCTTGATAAAATTTAAATGGAACCGTGTCGAAAGCATCTGAAACACAAAATTAACCTCATTCGCGAAGCAACTGTTCTTGAGTTGTTAGGTATCATTTGGAGGCGCTCGGGTGACTGTTACCAAATCCCACTCCTCCTGACTAAGCCCTTGCTCGCCCACCTGTCCTGGTGTAGCTGGAAAGGCTTCCGGGCCACCTTGTCATTCAATCATAAAGAAAAAAAACTGAATTAACCAAATAAAAATAAAAATATATCATCGTACCACACTTTCCCGCCCAAAAGTCCAAAAAGAGCACAAACCACACTGTTATATATTATTTACGTTATCTGTGACATAGTAAGGGATATAGGCAAAAACCGCCGGTCGTGGCCTCTCAGGTTCCGACCAATTAAAAAGTTAATTTAACTCCCAGAAAATTAAGACGCGCCGTTGCCTTATTTTGTGTCATTCAATTACAAATTGCATCCCGTGTCCTTTGCAATAAAATATTTGGCTATATGGCCACGTATCCTTTACCGGTCCAATGAGCAAATCAAACGAGAAACGCGCTATCTCACGTCACCGTATTTTTCCAATTAACAGAGCGCTAACTTACGTGACCATTTATTGTGTTGTTTTACGTAACCTATCGTTAATTTATACGGTAATTATGCTAATGAATGAACCTTGAAATGAGTTTTCGTAGTACGAAGAGAATCCAATTATTTTTGTGTGACGACAGTTTTTTTTTTTTTTAAACCATAAGGCATTTATTTTTGACAGCCGTGGCTGTATGGCGACTGTCAAGCCTTGACATTCCATGACAGATCTTAACGTTGAATCTGTATGTAGGGGACTTTTTGGCGGGAACGCGAGGAGTGAAGTTGTGTGTTTTGTCTTATTTTGTCTATTTAGTGTTTCTTCAGGTTTAAATGTGTAATAACGGTGGTTTGTTAACTATTTAGTATCTGTGAAAGTGCACAAATGTGGGAAAAAGAAACAAAGCCGTTGAGCGTAACTTCTCAGGATCCTCCAAAAAGTCCACTGAAAAAGTCTCAGTAAACGACCACCATTTTACTGAGATTTTATTTCATCCCATATCATCTCATTCCATTTCGTTTTCATTTCATTTCATGACATGTTTAATATTAATCAACTTCATGTCATTTCATAATATCATTTTTCATAAATAAAAAATATATAAAAGATTAGGCTGTATGGTACGACACCTTTGCCTTTCCAGTTGGAAAAATAAAACTACTACTACTGTATGTAGGTATTGAGATTTGTGTTATTTTTAAAATGCTTTTATTAGCTGGTAGTTATTATATGTTTGTTTGTAAGTGACGAATGTTTGAACGTCATTTCGAAAGACTTTATGAAGTCTGAATTATATTGATAAAATGCACGCGCGTCAAGATGACCGATAACTATGCAATAATTTTGTAACTTCGCTCTAATATCCTGACCCGTACCGACAGGATAGAAAAAAAAATGAAATTAAATGTTAGTTCGGTTTTTTTCGGGCCGGGGACCGCCCTACGAGGTCCCCGAGGTCTACGAGGGACAGGTCCTCAGATGTAGGGACCGAACCGCGGGCCATGGGGATGGAATTTAGGGCCTTACCGACTAAACGACTCCCCTACACTCTCGCTTAAGCGTCCGATCCCCCCGAGGTCAGAACCCGCGTGAGTCAAGGGAGTCACCGCGGTCAACACTTCAACAAGACAGCACAGCGAATCTAAAGCTCTGCAACGTCAGCTGTCTCGGTACGGTAGCCCGTCAGGTGTCCCGGAATACCCCGCTGGACCAGAACCAGCCTGCCGGGTCGGGAGACGCGATAAACCGCCAATCGTTTGCTCTTTTTGACGTTGGTAGTGTTTCTCCTTGGCAGCGCACTGGTATACTGTTAGCGCGGCGCGGGATCTCCGCCCCCTCAGGTTCCCCCTAGTTCGGATTGCTGTTTAAGCGAGTTTTATTTATTTATTTTAAACTATAATTTAATATGCTATTAAAAATAGCTGTAAGTTTTTCAAACACTCAACAATTCTCATGTCTTCGCGATGGACTAAACAAACATGAGGTCTTCTCAATGGGTCCACGATTAGCGAAGACCTTGAAAAGTATCCACTGATTACGTACGATTCAACTTCTGGTATCCGTTTAATATCATTAAAATTTTAATGTCATAGTAGTTTCCGTTTTAATGTCATTATTGTCATTAGACAGAGATGGATATAGTCATTACGAGACTTTTTTTTTGTTTATAAAATACGAAAATAATGACTTGTAATTTATCCCTGACCATTCAACATCCTGGATGCGGCAAGTAAAAAACTACATATTTGATGCGATGGCAGGTCAGAATTGCGTCCCCGATGATATTTCCACCAGTGCGTAGTAGACCTTTCGCGACCCACCAGTACTAAGGTAGATCATGGATGGATGAAATGAGGTTGTCGTTTTGAAGTCGTCGTGGCCTAAGGGTTAAGACGTCCGGTGTATTCTTGTTGAGCGATGCACCGGTGTTCGAATCCCAGGCGGGTACCAATTTTTCTAATGAAATACGTACTCAACAAATGCTCACGATTGACTTCCACGGTGAAGGAATAGCATCGTGTAATAAAAATGAAACCCGTAAAGTTATAATTTGCGTAATTACTGGTGGTAGGACCTCTTGAGAGTCCGCGTGGGTAGGTACCACCACCCTGCTTATTTCTGCCGTGAAGCAGTGATGCGTTTCGGTTTGAAGGGTGGGGCAGCCGTTGTAACTATATTTGAGACCTTAGAACTTATATCTCAAGGTGGGTGGCGCATTTACGTCGTAGATGTCTATGGGCTCCAGTAAACACTTAACACCAAGTGGGCTGTGAGCTCGTCCACCTATCTAAGCTTAAAAAAAAAGAGGTGAAGTTTATTTTTCTGAGACTGTAATCAATTGAGATAAAATTTAATCAAAACGAGATGAGATAAGATGAAATAAAATCACAATAAAATATGACTTCTTTAGATTTTTTCAAGGAACCCGAGACGCTACGTTCAGAGTCTTTTTTATTTTCCCACGCATATACACAGATGCTTAAAGGTTAATAATTCACCGTTATTACTAAATACAGATAAATAAAACAATTCACACAGCTTCCCTCTTCAATTTCCCGCCCGAAAAACAATAAACAATGGCTCGCTTTTTCCTAGCCACAGTTGTTTATAGTTTCGTAAGCTAAACATTCGTCGGTAACCAAAGTCGAGTTAAAATTAAGGAATTCTATGACCTGGTAACTAAGATCTTTAAGTAGTTAAAATTAAAAACCTTTTAAATAGATTAAAAATTCAAATTTATTTTTACGTTCATTATTTTATTATAAAGACATGCCAATGACCTCTGGCTGTCAAAATAGACGTAAACAAATTTGATTTACAGCCCGTAACGAAGTGGACGTTAGAAGTAATGGCCGATTTTAGTTATAATTTAGAACTGGCGATGATTCGTGGCAATAATATGTTGAGGATACACTTTTTTGTATTTTTTTTATTGCTTAGGTGGGTGGACGATCTCACGGCCCACCAGAGAGTTACCAGAACCCATAGACATCTACAACGTTATTACCACCATCCACCTTGAGATATGACTACTATGGTCTCAGTTTTAACAGTACAACGGCCGCCCTACCCTTCAAACCCAAACGCATTACTGCTTCACGGCAGAAATAGGCAGGGTGGTGGTACCTACTCACACAACGACTCACAAGACGTCCTACCACCAGTGAAATTGAATTCAATGAAATTGAAAACGAACACGAATTAACTCAAATAGAATGTAAGATTTAATGAAAAATACGGATGTTTTAACCTGGAAGTTGTTTATTGGACGATTTAGTTTATTATTAGCATCAAAGGAAAATAGAATTCTATTATTTCATAGCAACAAGAGAAACAAACCACCCAAAAATAGAATAGATAACAACACGTCTACGGTAATTAAGACTTAATTAACATTCCAATTGTCTTTAAATATACGTAGGCAGGTTTAAATATACGTGAAAAAGTTAAAATTAGCGACCTAACAAAAATATCTCTCAATTATAACAATGAAGTTTTTGTGTTCGCTTAATATTAGAATGTGCTAAATTCTCGGTTAAAAAAGTATTGCACGGGCCGTAACAGCATAAAATATCTTAATTAAAAAACTCAATAAAAAAATGCCCGCACAAAATGCTTCTAAAAAAAGATCCAGCAATTACTTACAAAAGCAGAAGATTTTACACAATACTTTGCCGCCTTAGATTCGGACATTGCAGATTTAATTCACATTTACACCGCATGCGCATTATTATGTCTCCCTTCTGTTCGTATTGCAATTCAGACGTCGCTCAAACTTTAGACCACATATTCTTCGAATGCCCTGAATTACATAGCCAACGCCTTTGTTTGTCATCTAATCTGTTAAGCTATCATAGAAGATCTGAAAATATCCCGCGCTGTATTCAAGACTTGCTTATGAACCATGATATGCATGATATCATTTATGAATTTATTTCTAATACGGTTCAAGACATATAAAAGGATTTTACTCCCCGGATTGACTAATTGGATTGAACAGACATACTTTTCAGAATTGGAACAAGCACCTGGAAATATAAATAATTTTTATTTGGATTCTACTATTATTGCTTATGGATTTGATTTCAACCAATTCAAAACATCGAAGAAGTGGCTTAGGCCTTATGACCGAGAATAAGAAGACATGACAACATACGATCAAGAACAATGAAGACGTGGCTTCGGCTTTTAAAACTACCAAAATTTACCAATTATTACCAAGAACAAGACTTGGCTGTATGGACTAAAGTTCTTTGCCTTTTCCATTAGGGATAAATTAATATCATCATTCTAAAAAAAGGTACAGGGAATGTAACTAAACGAACAGTCATACTACAATTGCTCTCCGAATACATTAAATTGTCTGAAAATTTATACAAAAATCACCAATCTCAGTGGAAGCACTGCGGTCTGTATCAAATTGAAGAGCAAACCAGTCATCAACTTATTTTTAACGCTTGTCTTGTGGTCGTTGAAATTTACAGAAATAATTATACGTTATCTATACTATTTAAACTAATATTATAAAGAGGAAAGGTTTGTTTGTTTGTTTGTATTGAATAGGCTCCAAAACTACTGAACCGATTTGAAAAATTCTTTCACTGTTTGGAAGCCACACTGTTCCCGAGTGACATATAATATTTTTTGATAAAAATTAGGGATCTTTACTAAAACTCCAATAATGTAACCCAAGGTGTAAAAAAAAAACTTAAAATATTCTTTACATCGCGTGCCCTGGAAAACTGTTGATGATAGAATAAAATAATGTACTACGACTTTGTAGAACACATTATTAATTACAAAAAGTGTCGGGACCGCATATGTCTAACTATTGTAGTTATGCCGCAATAAGTTTATTTTATTTAAAAAAATAAAACAACGTCAAATATCGTTGAAATTTTTGTTAAAGACCCGAGCGGAGCCGGAGCGGGCCGCTTGTAAATTATAAATTAAGCGCTTGTCGTTTCAGCTCATCTCCATATCTGCTCGAAGAGTCATCTTCAATAGTATGCATCTGTGTACCTCTATCTCGTTTTTACCCGAGTTTACCGCCCTTCAAGTGTTTCAGTGATAAACGCCTTTTAATTGATAACGTTATTTAGCCTTGTGCGCAAACCGTCGATAGATCGATTCTCTACTAATGCGTATAAAATAGGAAGCGTCGCCGCGTCGGAATACCGACTATTTCGCAGTTTGATTATAGGTATTGAACTGTACGGACGTGTCTTAGCGCATTCACATATACGGTTTCAGTCAGCTAATAACATTTATAAATAACCATATAAAATTATTTGCTCTGAATTCAAGCATATCACTTTGTATTTTTTTTATTAAAGTTTTTTATGAGGTAACCTACCTTTTTTCAAAAATCTCTTAACAGTTTCCGCAAAATATGTGATAACAATTTAGGTATTAAAAGCGTTAACGTTATTATTTTTAAGCGTTTTAAAATAAAAGATTCATACTTTCTGACTATATACGTCGTATATCTTATACGTTGTTTGTCGTATACCTGCTATATCCTAGATCGGCAATTGACAGTTGATGCGCATTAATAAGACACAATAAAAACTTATCTCGCGATAAGGTATAATCATCATTGCGCTTACGAATGTCATAATATGTCATTCTAATGTCAGAATACGATGCAGTAGATAATAACACCAAACCTTGTTCCTTAGGTGATGTCAACTGAAAATGGCTGGCTGGAAGAGCTTCAGAGAATGGATAGGTCTTTCGAAGCCGCCCAAACGGGAGTTGGACAAGAGCCAGTATTCGCTGGTATCTTGCGGGGAACTTACCACGGACAACATTCAGCTATGGCTGGCTCTGCCTGACGAGGTGAAGAATGATCCTTCGTTGGCGTCCCTACGGCAGATGTACGAGAGAGACGGTAAGTTAACCCGACTTCTCTGCGGAATGGTCTTCAAATCTACCCCGCGATTGATGGCAATAAATCATTTTAGATTATAGACCAAGATAAACCTTTCTAGACGCAAGGTTTCCTTTTAATCCGTAAGCCTGAAAACTAGGAATCTTGTCTAAACGAGAAGCCACTTCTGGTTTCACTCTGACAGTCTTCTGTGTTGCGGGTGTCAGGAACGCACGAGACATGAACGGATACATCTACGTGCATGTGGTGGAGTATTTTCTAAGACCGTGCGCCGAGTTTCGCCACCATCTTGCCTATTTCTGCCTTGGAACACTCATTCCGGTTTTAAGGGTGGGGCAAGCATTGTACAATGTGTGATGTCTATGAGCTTTGGTGATTTAGCAGCAGGTGATCCGTGGCACGCAGGGGTACTGACCATCGAATGGTAAACGGTCTACTTAACAACAGCGACGATCGAGTTCTATTCGAGGAATCGTATCGAGAAATCGTGGTACAGCATCCTACCCACTTGGCCAAATAACTCTTCAGTCGTATGAGATTATTTCCACAAAATTTATGTTTTCCAATTATGTACCAAAATTTTCCATGCAGTAAGAACTAGTATTAACACATTCATAAAAATATTTATGTATCATTATTTGATATATCTAAGTAAACATTTACGTATTAGGTGTGCTAAATCAGTCGTTTCCAGTATCAATATATTAATACGTGAAGCAAAAACTTTGTATCCCTTTTTACGAAAATTGCGCGGACGGAGGAGTATGAAATTTCCCACACTTATAGAGAATATAGAGAAGAAGTGCACAATGCTAATATTTTTTTAAAATAATGCCTAAAAGATACATTAAATCAATAAAGAAAACATTACACACACTACATACCATGTATTTGACGCACACACGCATGCATACTATTTATTGTCAAACTTTTGTTCTTGACGTCTGTTGTCAAATTGAGAATATATTAAATATTGTTTGACTTTGTTAGTATTTTTTATAATGTAGTCTTGGCGAAATTTGTGATTATAGAAGTATAAAATATAATCATAATAGTGTACAAACTTACAATTCCAATTAATTATAGTCGAATTTCGACTACTGTGGGACAACTAGTCAATGGAAATCTTCGTTTGCATTATCCGTTGAGCGAAGAAAATGGGTGATGCGTGTTTTTTCTTTGTGTTATCTGTGTAAGCATAGGAGAAGTTGAGAAATGCGCGCTTAGGATGACAATGAAATAGCAATAAGGTTCTTAGTAGAGTTTTAGCTATGAATGTGGAAGGCTTTGGAGGCAGAGGTAGACCTAAGAAAAAATGGATGGATTACGTGAAAGACGATATGTGTAAGAAGGAAATGAGCGAAGAAATGGTATATTATGAAGGAGTGTGGAAGGAGGACACATGTTGCGCCGACTGCAGGTGACTGGGAGAAGGGCAGGAGAATGATTATCTCTGTAGGCAGATGAATATACGGCCCAAATGATAATGTTTGGTTACCATGATTTATGGACATTAGCAATACCAGGGGCACTGCCAAGTCGCTGTCGGCTGAGTAGTGTAACACTTGGGAAACATCGTGGAGGTCGTTCCAGAGCCGGATGGTACATGGCAAATAAACTCTGCTCCGGTGGTGGGAAGCTCAATGGTAATTATGGAGATGAAAGGATCATCTAGAATTATTCCTGAGTACGTGTGTCTACTGTGTTATTTGATAAAGACTAAAAAAGAGCTAAAAGACTATGTGGTCAGGTAGTAAGGTTAACACTAGACACAGCCTAATGAGTTTCTCGCCGGATCTTCTCAGTGGGTCGCGATTCCGATCCGGTAGTAGATTCAACGAAGCACTGCGCTTACTAAGGCTAGTGTTAGCTATTCTGTCAGGTTGAGCCCGTGAGCTCACCAACGGTCCGCGTGAAATTGGAATAGTCCCTTAGGCTACCAACAATTAGGTAAGGAAAAGTTAATAATACATAAATTATTTTAACAAAACTTTGATACACCGACCACTGATGACAAGGAGTTTCATTGCATGTTCCTTAAAATATTAACGACTATTGCGACTCGTGGACTCAATCAAAATAGCTTCAACGATTTATTGAAGCACTTATTTTTGTTATTATCATATAATATTTGCAAAGGATTGCGAAGTTAAAATGGAAGTGTCACATCACTCGTAGAACAGATTATTGGTGGTAGGACCTCTTGTGAGTCCGTGCGGGTAGGTACCACTACCCTGCCTGTTTCTGCTATGAAGCAGTAATGCGTTACGGTTTGAAGGGTGGGGCAGCCGTTGTAACTATACTGAGACCTGAGAACTTATATCTCAAGGTGGGTGGCGCATTTACGTTGTAGATGTCTATGGGCTCCAGTAACCACTAAACACCAGGTGGGCTGTTAGCTCGTCCACCAATCTAAACAAAAAACAAAAGATGGTGCTGAAAAGTTCTCGGGGGGAGACCGCGTGTGAAGCCTCCCACAAGGTGGTCCAATGACCTGTTCAAGGTCACCGGAATGGCTGGATGTAGACCGCGCAGAACCGGTCGCTTTGGCAAAGCTTAGATAAGGCCTATGTCCCACAGTGGCTGATAGATAATACTGGTATTATTACGCCGGTAATAGTAACGCCATCTATGCCCGAATAGCCGAAACGAATATCAAAGGATCTAGTCACATCAAGAACGCTCGAGAAGTACAACCCTATCTGTTGTCAGATAGCGGAAACACACATCGAAAATACTCGACTTGTGAGGAATTTTCTCGATAATTTTAGGGATGTCGTATAGACTATAAAAGCGTTGCAGAGATGGCACGAAGCACTTAGTAATCAAATCAAATCAAATAAAAAAAAAATTTTTTTTTATTCAGCATAAATAAAAGTACATACTTGTTGAACGTCAAAAGAACTACCGCCAATTCACAAGAACTAGCCTCCGTCCTGAGAAGAATTGGCAAGAAACTCAGCGGGAATATCTTTTTTTTTTTTAAATATGAAATTTTTTTTTTTTTTTTTAAATTAGTTTTTTTTTATAATATGAATTTTTTACAATGAGTATTATAACGTAACAATTACTACAATATTGAAATGCCTGGAGCGAGCAACTCATTCCCACTTTGTGCAATCTTCTAGATAATCATTGACTTTATAGTAAGCTTTATTGCACAGATGTTCTTTAATAGTTTTCTTAAACCTATGTATATATAGGTTCTGAACATCTTGTGGGATTTTGTTGTACAGGCGCACAGACAAACACCCGAATGAATTTCGTATCTNCAATCTTCTAGATAATCATTGACTTTATAGTAAGCTTTATTGCACAGATGTTCTTTAATAGTTTTCTTAAACCTATGTATATATAGGTTCTGAACATCTTGTGGGATTTTGTTGTACAGGCGCACAGACAAACACCCGAATGAATTTCGTATCTTATGTAACCTACTCATCGGCACAACAAGCTTGTGTTTGTTCCTAGTATTTCTATTATGTATGTCCGACTTTTTAGGAACTACTCGAAGCGAAACAGCAAACGGATCACCTGAAGCGAAGCAGAAGAAGTGAATTAAGAATTTTAAAGTGTTTTGTGAGTTTTCTAAGTGACAATACAGTGTTAACTTGTAATTCGGTAGAGTTTTTATTTATCCCGAACCCCAACGCGTAACGGTATTGTTAATTTCGCCCAATCTCAATTCAGATAGTCAAGAAGCCAAGCCACTGCACTAAAGCGACATCTTCAGTTCGCTCTTTGCGTATAATGACGTCACACTCTTCACAATCACCACAGACGACTCTGTACCAATTTTCTTTTAGGTGCTGTAGAAGCTACACCGTTAGCCACAAAATCGGGGAATCCAATCAAAGTACTGTCTTTAGTCGATCCTTCGCCCACAGCAGTAGGAGATACTGAAGTCTGCAGCGCGAAGAAAGACTCTAATGAGACTCCCACGATCACAGAAATTAAAGGGTACGCTTAAAAATTGTATTTTTTTTATTGCTTAGACGAGCTCACAGACCACTTGTTTTTAAGTGGTTGATGGAGCCCATTAGACATCCACAACTTTATTGCGGCACCCACCTTGAGATATAAGTTATAAGGACTCAGTATAGTTACAACGGCTACCCTACCCTTCAAACCGCATTACTGCTTCACGGTAGAAATAAGCAGGGTGGTGGTACCTACCCGCGCGGACTTACAAGAGGTCCTACCACCAGTATTTTACTATTTTATTGCACTAGATCATNGATGGAGCCCATTAGACATCCACAACTTTATTGCGGCACCCACCTTGAGATATAAGTTATAAGGACTCAGTATAGTTACAACGGCTACCCTACCCTTCAAACCGCATTACTGCTTCACGGTAGAAATAAGCAGGGTGGTGGTACCTACCCGCGCGGACTTACAAGAGGTCCTACCACCAGTATTTTACTATTTTATTGCACTAGATCATCTGTAAATGAGTTGATTGTCTATCGGATGTTAGCCGGTGCCTATAGACGATAGACCAATGATCGAATCGATCCAGAAACACCTGAAGTCAGCGTCGGAACGTTACTTCGATAAGGCTATGCGTCATGATAATCGCCTTATTGTTGCCATCGCTGCTGACTACACAGAAGCCGGTCACCGTCGACGCCCTAGACACGTCCTTACGGATCCACCAGATCCAATAACCCTTGCATTAGACACCTTCATCTCTAACACTGGGAGCAGGCTTAGGGGCTCTGGTAACTTTTTTCCAAGTTCTACGTGCAAACTAATCCATATATCAGCCCGCTGAGTTTCTCGCCGGTTCTTCTCAGCGGGTCGCGATTCCGCTCCGGTAGTAGATTCATTCGCGAAGCAGCTGCTCTTGAGTTGTTAAGTCTCTTTTGCAGGCGCTCGGGCAGCTGTTAGCAAATTTCACCCCTCCTGACATAGCATTTGCTCGCCCACCTGTCGGTTAAAACTAGAAAGCCTCCGGGCTACCTGTAATCCTTCCTTCACACAAAAAAAACATCAAAGTCTTAATGTTGCCACCGTGGACGACGGTTAATTCACACTTCAACTTGTCTTAGCGCTGCTACTCCGAAAAGTATCGCTGCAACATTCCGAGGGTATTAAAATTCTTGGGGTCAAAATTACGTCTTTCGTTTTTATAATAAAAAAGTCTATTATGATTGTTTTCAGAGCGGACAATGTACCAACAAACGAACATAAGAAGACGGAAAAGGTATAGTAGCGCTTACACGTAAAATCTTTTAAAAAAAAACACTACCCGCACTAACAAATTGGGTCTGAACGCGCTTATTTGAAACACATTGCGCGCTACAAAACTGATATTGGTTTTAACAGAAAACGAAACCAGCCTATTATATCAAGATGACAGTTCTGCTGGCGTGCTGGATTTTCTTCACAGTCATCTTCCTGACGCACGACGTTAAGAAGGAAACGAGGGGCGTCGCGTCCGTAGCGCCCGACGAAGTAAAAAGTGAGTATTGTTAATGGCAAAATCGGCCATTTTAATAAGCAAGTAATAAGCAAGTTTTTAAGTCGTCGGGGCCTAACGGATAAGACGTCCGGTGCATTCGTGTTGAGCGATGCAGCGGTGTTCGAATCTCAGGCGGGTACCAATTTTTCTAATGATAGGTATACGTACTCAACAAATGTTCACGATTGATTTCCACGGTGAAGGAATAACATCGTGTAATAAAAATGAAACCCCCAAAATTGTAATTTGCGTAATTACTGGTGGTAGGACCTCTTGTGAGTCCGCGCGGTTGGGTACCACCACCCTGCCTATTTCTGCCGTGAAGCAGTAATGCGTTTCGGTTTGAAGGGTGGGGCAGCCGTTGTAACTATACTTGAGATCTTAGAACTTATATCTCAAGGTGGGTGGCGCATTTACGTTGTGGATGTCTATGGGCTCCAGTAACCCCTTTAGACCAAGTGGGCTGAGAGCTCGTCCACCCATCTAAGCAATAAAAACTTTTTTTCAGTATTGCATTATTGGGCAATCCAAATAATAAAATAAAATAAATAAAATAAAAACTACACGGGGAAAAAAGCGAGATTATACCGTAAAAGTATTTTTTGATTAGAAAAACATACTGAACTCTTTGTTTCAGCTATGACGTCTGCATCTCTAGAAACGTCGCGCCCCCACAGCATCTTAATCAGTGTGTCGGGACCATTCTTGGCGGAGAACGACGAAATCAAGCTCAATGATACAATAAAAGAGAGAACCAAAAGCGTCACAATGTGGCTTGAAAGCTCTCGAACGAATGCTACGAATTTGAAAGAGGTCCGACGCTGCAATGAATCAATAGATCACTTGTAACTGTTTTGTCTTCACAGAACTTGAGGGTTTTCACTTCAACTTGAGGGTTGGCGGCGTCACAGGCGAAAAGCATCGACGCGCTTTCCATGGATGGCATGCCCACTAAGATATTTTCTGTTATGATGGCCAAACGGCATTACGTATTATAAGGCACGTGTAGGAATTGCCTCCCAAGTTTAAGGTTTGAAGGGAGACTTATGCAATCGAGTCTTTGACATCGAATCTTGGGATGGACAGCATTTGCGATGCAGCTACAGACCCCAGTAGCTAATTACAATCCGAGACCTCCATCCATGTAGTGCAATAACAATATGAGGTTTTTCATTAGATGAAAATTTACTGGTGTCTTCTTCATGTCTTGATTCCACGTTCTGTGTGGTCGGCGCAGCATGTCCTCTTATCGTGCTGCCTATCTGAGGTCAATCTTGGGTCATGTCTCCAGTAGTATATCCAATCGTACCACACGGAGGGACTTTTCCTCTTCTTTTTTTTTGATTCTTTTACCTCATCAATTTTTTACACTAAAATTTCAACAATGTTATGATACCTTTAAGCCATGTCGTAGCTTTTTTAATGCCCATATAGGCAGACGAGCATACGGCCCACCTGATGGTGAGGAATTGCCGTCGCCCATGGACTTCAGCAATACCAGGGGCAAAGCCAAGCCGTTGACAACCGTTAAGTACTCGCTACAGGCCTCGTTTGAAGAAGGGCATGTCATAGCGCTCGGGAAACACCGTGGAGGGGAGCTCAACTTAGCTCTCCGGTAGGTTATCACGTGTTCCGATCTTTTGACGACAAACGTGAAGCTTTTTTTTTTTATCATCCAGAAATCCGAGAACTGGACAATTTATTTAGATGAAGACGACACGTTGCCGGATTTCGGTGGAGCTGAGACGAGATCTGCGATCTTGAAATTGAGGCCAGGGATATCTGCGAACGGGAACTGCTCCCTAAAAATTGTGACGACCTCGAGGGCTTTTGTAGCTTTTAGCGTGGCATATAAGCTGGATCCAGTGGACGAGAATGTGGGGGTCATATACGCCTGCGTCCTCCTCGTCGGACTGTACGTCTTAATTATCTTTGAGGTGATTAATGCTTATGTCAGATTCATAGTAAAGCGAGTCCGATCTTTTTAATTGAACTTTAATTATGCTTACTCCGTTGAAACTGCTGGAGAAGTATTTTATTGTTATAATATTTTTTTAACCAAACTTTAAACTTTAAATGGCTGTAAAGTCGCAAAGATGTCTCAATATATAAGTGTGTCGAGGACGGTTTGGTAGCTAAACGAAACGCAGCACGATTCCCGAGAGATGGCAGCACGATTGCGGTATCATCGGAACCCGGCTAGCTTTGTGCTACGACAGAGCCTAGCTGATGGAGGCCCATAGACGCCATCACACTTACCAACCAGCCTTCTTGAAGAGCGACGCCTCCGTCCTAAGAACTGTCATTCGTTTTCGTTTGCTAACGTCAAGAGGAGATTTCTAAATTGTCCTAAGACAACAAACGTGATTGGTGTACTCAATATTTCTCTTAGCTCGATCACCCTATTCGCCCCTACGATGTCTGACGATGGTGTTATAATAATTGTGGCTTCTTCGACATATGTATATATTTCAGATCATCAACCGTACGCTTGCGGCCGTGACGATGTCTACAATGTCCCTCGCAGCTTTAGCTTTGGCTGGAGATCGGCCCGCCCTGTCCGAAGTCATAACCTGGTTGAACGAGGAAACCTTGATCCTCCTCTTCAGTATGATGCTACTTGTTGCTATTATGGCTGAAACGGGAATCTTCGACTTCTTGGCTGTATTCACATTCCAGGTATTGTCATTACTTATAGGTACCGCCATCCTGCATTGCTTAGTGGAACAACGCAAAGCGCCATCTAGTGCGNGAGATCGGCCCGCCCTGTCCGAAGTCATAACCTGGTTGAACGAGGAAACCTTGATCCTCCTCTTCAGTATGATGCTACTTGTTGCTATTATGGCTGAAACGGGAATCTTCGACTTCTTGGCTGTATTCACATTCCAGGTATTGTCATTACTTATAGGTACCGCCATCCTGCATTGCTTAGTGGAACAACGCAAAGCGCCATCTAGTGCGTAGTAGACGAACGAAAGTATAGTATTGAATGTCAACGATTCGAATAGTAATTCCGCTGTACATTTTATGTAAGTCATAGCGGTAGGGCGTATTTTGATCTCGGACGGACTGGCACAACTGGCTGGTGTGTTTTTGATGCAAAACAGCCAAACATATTGATTCCCAGGGCAGGACTGATTCAGACTGTCCTTACAAGGAGAAGGAGTATTGACTGCTCACTATTTTAATTATACAAACGGTTAAATTACTAGAACAATTCGGGATTACAATGATAGTGATTTAGAGCCGAAGGATTTTTGTATGACCACCACGTGCGAATGCCGTCAACAATAGAATAAACGACTTATCATTCGCCCGCCATTACAAAGCCATTACCATTCGGCGTTGCCAGCTCATAATTAAAATTACCATATAGTAGAATACAAACAGATTAAACTTTATCAAAATAACAGAACGATTGACCAATTATGAATAGGTATGATAATAAAATAAACTGTTATTAAATAAATATTAACTGATTTTTCATTATTTAATAATGTCTCTTGTCGGGTTATGTAGATACAGATACAATGTCGTATTTATGGTTTTAGGTGACCAAAGGTAAACTATGGCCGCTGATTCTGCTGCTATGCGCCATCACTGCAACGGTATCCTCCATATTGGATAATGTTACCACCATTCTCCTCATGTCTCCAATCACCATACGGTAAGTCTTGTCAAACATAACACAGACTTGATGAGACAATCTGTTCAAGATCTCACAGCGCGGAACGAAACTCATATTATTACGCTACTTTTTTTTTAAATATTATCTGTGCATTTTTCACTCAATCTCGACTGAGGCGGACTTTTTGGCGGGAAAGCGAGGAGTGAATTGTGTGATTTGTTTTATTTTGTCTATTTAGGGTTTCTTCGGGTTTAAATGTGTAATAATGGTGGTTTATTAACTGTTTAATATCTGTGAAAGTGCACAAATGTGGGAAAATTAAGCAAAGCCGCTGGACGTAACTTTTCGGGATCCTCCAAAAAGTCCACTGAAAAAATCTTAGTAAATGACCACCATTTTACTGAGATTATATTTCATCCCATATCATCTCATTTCATTTCATTTAATTTCATCCCAGTTGATTAATGTCTCAAATTAATCATTTTAGATCAAGAGCCCGTCGAACGACAGTTTGTCTAGACCACACAAAAAGTCTCCATTTAAGTTATATCAAGACCTGACAATATCAAGACTAGTGGTCTCTCAGTTCACTGAGTCCCTCGACTGATCTTCTTAGTCGCGAGTCTTCTTAGTGCTGTAGTCATCAGCCTATAGCAGTCCACTGCTGGACATAGGCCTCTCCAATTGTTCGCCACTGTGCACGGCCCTCGGCTTCTCTCATCCAGTTCCTGCCAGCCGCACTGCACAGATCATCACTCCACCGAGCCTGAGGGCGTCCTGCACTGCGTTTTCCAGTTCGCGGTCTCCACTCAAGAACGTGTTTACCCCAACAACGGCTATCGGTTGTCCGGTTAATATGGCCAGCCCATTGCCACTTCAATATTAACGAATAGGTAGGAAAAAAAACCAATTCGTCTATTCCTATACATATGTTTCGCTTTCAGATTATGCGAAGTCATGGAGCTAGATCCGGTGCCGATCCTCATGTTCATGGCGATATTCAGCAACATTGGAGGCACGGCGACCCCTGTCGGCGACCCGCCCAACGTGATTGTGGCTTCGAACCGAGCTGTCATCGATTCTGTAAGTACCAATCAATCCCATCCCAGCTCTGACAGTCCACCGGACTCGTGAGCGGGGACGCGAGGAGCGAAGCTGTGCAAATTGTTCTGTTATCAATTCAATGCTTCGTCATGTTCAGACGGCTGTGGGAAAATGGAACAAAGTCGCTGAACGTGGCTTCTTGGTTTCTTCCAAAGATCCCGCTGAAATGAAAAGTGTGGGTATTTAACGAAATAAAAAGTGTGAGTATTTAACGAAATACCCACACTTTTCATTTAAAACGTCGTTTCATTTTCAATTTCAACAGATGACAGTCTCAAATATATCAACATCGTTTTCCATTACAAATCATTTTTCGATTTAAGAAAAAAAATTACTAAATGATAGATTAAAAAGGAACTGGACACTAGCAGCAACAATGGCAATGCGTTTAACCCTTTGCTGTACCGGAAAAAAAAATAGCAGCCCACCTAGCTTTAAATGAGTCTTGGCGCTTACAGGGAAGGGAAACACAATCTAAATGCAGTCACTTCACTAGGGAATGCTATGAGGAATTATTCGAGATGACACCCACGTATTTTTTTCATCGCACCTCCCGCCATCGGAGCAGAGTTCATCTATATTATCTGGAACCGCTGCGTCATCGACAGTGCGTTTCCAAAGATCTCTTCTGCCACGTACCATCCGACTTTGGAATGAGCTCCCTTCCACGGTGTTTCCCGAGCGCTATGACATGTCCTTCTTCTAATGAGGTTTGCGGAGTGTACTTAATGGTAGGCAGCGGCTTGGCTCTGCCTCTGGCATTGCTGACGTCCATGAGCGACGGTAACCACTTACCATCAGGTAAGCCATATGCTCGTCTGCCTACATAGGCAATAAAAAAAACTTCAAAGACATGACATCAAAGTCTGTTCCACTGGCTGGCCTACCCTCCAGCCCAGAGCGTATTACCGCCTCACTTAGAGACCTACGTTTAAATGCCTTGGACTTGATGTGTTCAGCATCGCTCATGAAGCCACATCAGAGACGCAACCAAGCTGAATCATAAAAAGGACTCTCTTGAATCCTTATTCGAATAGCTTGGCATAGCGTGATCTATTATATACTGCATAATATGCTATGTGGATACGAGTAACAAGATAGAGTCAAATAGCAGAAACGGATAGGGGAAAAAACTGGAACATGTTCTGAAACGTTCTGGAGATGTTCCACTTATAGCAGTTCTACTTACATGAAGAGTGTTCTGATGACCCCGAAAATGATATCGGCATAAGCAAAACTAGTCCAGAACATTCTCAAATGTTCCAGGATAGTTACCGGTATTTACATTATATTGTTTTCGTTTCAGGGTATTAATTTCGCCAATTTCACAGCGCACATGGCTCTGGGAATAATATTAGTGTTCTGTCAGACGGCCATGCAGATAAGATACGTCTTCCGTGATTCGAATAAACTTAGACTGACAGTGCCCAAGGAGATCAGAGGTGATTATGCCCTAGACACGTCCTTACGGATCCATCAGATCCAATAACCTTTGCATTAGACGCCTTTAGATTTAACACTAGGAGCAGGGTTAGGAACCCCGGTAACGGTACTCGTCGAACTCTGCAAAGAGTTCGACGTGCAACCTAACCTAAACATCAACCCGCTGAGTTTCTCGTCGGATCTTCTCAGCGGGTCGCGATTCCTATCCGGTAGTAGATTCATTCGCGAAGCAGCCGCTCTTGAGTTATAAGGTATCCTTCGGAGGCGCTCGGGCAGCTGTTAAAAAATCCCACCCCTCCTGGCTGAGCCTTTGCTCGTCCACCTGTCTTGGTGAAACTGGAAAGGCCTTAGGGTCACCAGTTAATCCTTCCTTCATAAATAAATTAAAAAAAAGGTGATTATCTAGGAACTACTCGCAACAAACCAACCTAACTGAGCAAGCCTATATACAAAAATTGATTTAATATAAAAAAATACCATTACTTAACTTGCAAATAAGAATCGATAATAATAAATGGAGGTTTGAGAAATCCAAAATGGATTATTCATTGTGGAACATTCCCGGTACAGAGTTGCGGGTAGTTAGTTCTTAAGTTATTTTGTTTCATCGAAACGGTGGCCGTATTAATTTTCGCTCCATTACTCGTTCAAGGCCTTAGCCATCAGATCTCGATATGGCGGCGGGCGGCGGATTCCCTCCCGCACCTCAGCAAAGACGTGCAAGTCGTCAGAGAGAGGCTCGAGAGGAAGATACGGAAGCTGACCGTGGAATTGGACGTCTTAATCAAGAAGAGCAACAGCCGCGCTTGCCCCGAAGAGACATTCCAAACTACCCTTAAAGAAATGAAAGACAAGGTAACTGGTATTTAGCAGCATCAGCTTGTTTGGTCAGATGGGGTTAACAGCGACGCAGTAAATTCCACCACCATCAGCCATGAGGTCTATCATTTCCCCAATACAACAGCTTCCGCATCCTTTAATTCGAAATGCATGACTACTTCACGGCAGAAACAGGTAGAGTCGTGGTACCTACCCGTGCGGACTCATAAGACACGAGTGAAAAGGATCTGTATACCGTATGAGTCATGAGGAGCGCTTGGGAAGCTATTGATAGAGATGATGCCGTCGTCACTTTTTTATCGCTACCCGCTTCCGGAGTAGAGTCCAGCCATATTACCGGGAGCCTCTCTGTTCAGATATACCACTTTTTTCACTAGCCAAACTGTCTTGTGTTCCTTGAGGTATGTGACACATGCTTCGGGACTCAAGATAGGGTTCAACTTTACTCGTTATTTACACCTCTAGACGTTACGTGTAACTCTCCATTTTATACTATAACGTATCAGTCTTGAAACTGGAAGGCATCTATAAACCTGTGCGAGCTCCGAAGATCCATACCAACCATTAATTGACTGTTTTTTTTTATTACATGATGGGTGGACGACCTCCCAGCCCATCTGGGGTTAAATGGTTACCGGAGTCCATAGACACCTTTTTTTTATTTCCGTATAGGCAGACGAGCATACGGCCCACTTGATTGTGAGTGATTACCGTCGCTCATGGACGTGAGCAATGCCAGGTAATTGCCGCCACCCACCTTGAGATATAAGTTCCAAGGTCTCAGTATAGTTACAACGGCTGCCCCGCCCTTCTAACACGCATTACTGCTTCACGACAGAAATAGGCAGGGCGGTGATACCTACCCGTGCGGACTCACAAGAGGTCCTACCACCAGTAAAATTTTGGTGGTACCAGTAAAGTTGTGGAAATTTTGGCGGTTTTCATTTTAATTACACGACGCCATTCCCTCATCGTGGCAGTCATTCGTGGGCATGAGTTAAGTACGTGTTTCATCAGAAAAACTGGTAGCTGCCTGCGGGATTCGAACCCCGGCACAGTTGCGCCGTTCGATACGAACGCACCTGCCCGTCTTAACAAAACAATTAAATTTCAGTACAAGATAAGAGATAAAGCTCTGCTGATCAAAGCTTCAGTGGCCGTCTGCTTTGTGGTCGTGGTATTCTTCTTGCACTCAATGCCGGCTCTAGGTGAGTAATCAATTTACATGACGTAGAGGTGCTGGAAGGCCTATGGCATAGTGGACCAATGTCAGAGTCGGGTCGGTGGGGTTGGATCTGGATGGGAAAGGAGGTCGATCGAGTATTATGACTTAAAAAAGGGAGGGGTGTGGCCAACAGTGGGTCAAAGGCGACAATCTATGAGACGACCTGAATCACGTGTCCCAACACGCGTATTCATTGCAAGATTCGCCGAATCTAGTACAACCCCTCGAGGCTACTAGTCTGGGTAGGAAAGAAAAAGCAAAATGGCAGCTGCGAGAAAAACACGGCAAACGTATTTTAAGATATCTTAACAGCATGTCCATGTTTTAGTGTATTTAGAAACGATTAAATGACCTATAGATATAGTTTCACGCCAGATCTTCTCGGTAGATCGCGATTCTGGTCCGATGGTAGATTCAGCACTGCTCTTGCTAGGCTCAGTGTTCGCAATTCTCTCGTGAGCCCGTGAGCTCACCTACCAGACATAGCGTAGTTAGAATAGCCCCTTAGGCTACCAACGAATAGGAAGGGAAAAACAAATCGAGCCCAGGTTGTATACTACAGTGTAATTATCACAATTAGTACGACTTTATAAGAAAGAGAGTTGGAGCGTACCAGAAATATATTGCTGTCCCTTTCACACATTTACAGTGACGTTTTGTCCCAATTATGTTTTTTCTTCTTCTAAAAAGCAACGGAGTCGTTAACCACTGTGATGTCACAAATTTTGGGTTTATTGTATGAGATGATATAATTTCGTAGACCGCGTCTCTCTGGGCTGGACGGCGTTGCTGGGCGCGATCCTGCTGCTGATTCTGGCGGACCGCGAGGACTTGGAGCCGGTGCTGCACCGAGTCGAGTGGTCCACGCTGCTGTTCTTTGCGGCCTTGTTCGTACTCATGGAGGTATTCCGATTTTTCAAACATAGCAAAATGTCATGATGAGAATATAGGACATAGGGGATTCAAGGTGAAAGGAAATGAAATGGTGGTGCTTTGAAGAATCACAATATTTGGTTTCAGTTGGAGCTCACTCCAGCATGAGCTATGTTCGTTCCATTGCTCGTTCACAAATCACGAAATTCCTCTTTCTGTGAAGGTTCAGGTCAACCAGATTCGATCGAAGATTACACCCTCGCAACGGGATCTTCGGCACATAAATGATAAGGCAACAACTATTCGCGAGCAAACTATAAAACACATTAACTATTCAACAGGCGTTGTCGAAACTGGGCTTAATATCGTACATCGGAGGTATCATGGAACTGCTGATTCTGAGGGTAGACGAGAGCTCCAGACTGGCAGTCGCCATCTTGCTAACTTTGTGGGTGAGTTGTTCAAATAACAGATGGCGCTGTTTTCAATAAAACGTGTGCTCAGATTAATTAGGGTATTTTTTTTTATGATTACGCATATTTTATGACTACGAGATATTTATTTATGTAGAGTCCTTTGTCAAATTGTTAGGATAAATCTATAAACGATTACTATATACAAATACATATGTTTTTTTTTTCGTCACCTCTTTTACCGAGAAACAGATTTAAGTTGTTCGACGTACAAGTTTGGGTGGATTTTGTCGCCGGTCTTTAAAAAAAACCTTTCTTTTTCCCTACCTATTCGCTGGTAGCGAGGCTATTCCTGCTACGCCCGGACGGGTAGGTGAGCTCACGGGCTGAACCTCAAAGCATTTGCCAACACTAGCCCTAGCAAGAGCAGTGCTTCGCTGAATCTTTCACCGGATCGTAATCAAGACCCACTGAGAAGATCCGGCGAGAAACTCAGTGGACTCTTTTGCCACTTCAATCTCTTGTATCCTAAATTGGTTACAAAACGCTTCTAGATATTCATATTCGCGCGTTTCGCTTGAAGGTTTCCGGTGTGATATCGGCTTTCGTTGACAACATACCGCTGACAACCATGATGGTCCGCGTCGTGGTCTCCATGGGATCGAACTTAAAGCTCGACCTGCCTATGCAGCCATTGATCTGGGCTTTATTGTTCGGCGTCTGTTTGGGAGGTAAGACTATAGATCATACGCTAATTTACGAAAGCTAATCTAAGCGTCATTGTTCTTTTTTTTTTAATATGGCAATTTGTTTCGTGCCATTATTACCAGTCTCAAAATACAAAATTGAGCGAAATAAAATTGAATTTTTCGTTTAGTTGTAATTGTAAAATCATCGGAATGAATTTGAATAAAACGATATGAAATTTTAATACCGCCCCAATATAATTAAACGATAACTCTGAGTGGACATTTTGTCAGAACCCGAGAAGCCAAGTCTTCAAGGGATTGTGTTTCATTATCCCGCGCACTCTTCTAAACGGTTAATAAGCCACCATTATTACATTATCACATTGTTATACCTGCAATATCGCAAAATTAACAAAACCAAATATGTTAAAGAATGATAAAGAATTCACTTCTAGTGTTCCCGCCAAAAAGTAGATTTTACAAAATAGAATAAAAACCTAAATAGATTTTTCAATTCAAAATAACGAATGGAATGTCAATGACCTCTAGCTGTCAACACATGCGTCACTATTCGGTCTGTGTTTAGAACGACCACAGAGTATACACTAATAACTTTTGTTTAGGTATGGCGATTGCATTGCGATGTTGCCAGTGTCAAATTCATAAAAATCTTTTTTAATGATATGAAGCGAAATTAGTTAGATGAAGTAGATTTATTTGAAAATTTAATCTATAGGCTTGAAATCAAACGAAACTAGAATGAGAGATGAGATAACATAAAGCTTCAGTGTAATAGTGGTTATTGTTAAATAGAGCTCAGTGGAATATTTGACTAATGAGCCTGAGAAGCTACATACATCCAGCGTCCTCATATACCCACGCACTTTAACAGACGCTGAATAACAAAACTATCCACTGAAGTAATAAAATAAAACACTTCAAACGAAGTGCGTTTTCAGAGGTCTTTTTTGCCACGTATCATCCGGCTATGGAATGAGCTCGCCTCCACGGTGTTTCCCGAGCGCTATGACATGTCCTTCTTCAAACGAGGCTTGTGGAGAGCATTAAACGGTAGGCTTGGCTCTGCCCCTAGCATTGCTGAAGTCCATGGGCGACGGTAACCACTCACCATCAGGTGGGCCGTATGCTCGTCTGCCTACAAGGGCAATAAAAAAAAAGCTATTTTGACGATGAATCGGCAGTACCTGTTGGCATTACCTTTCGACCCCTGGTGTTAAGTGGTCGTACGTGGCCAACGTAAATGCCGGCACCTACCTTGAGCTGTGAGTTCTAAGGTCTCAGTTTTACAGTACAACGGCTACAGGGCAATGGTGCCTGTCCTTGCGGACTCACAAGACCTCCTACCACTAGTAACTTGATTTTCCAGGTAACGGTACACTGATCGGAGCCAGCGCGAATGTGGTCTGCGCCGGCGTCGCGGAACAGCACGGCTACAAGTTCACGTTCGCCAGATTCTTCAGGGTCGGATTCCCGCTCATGATCGGGCATTTTGTTGTAGCTTCCATCTACTTACTGATGTGCCATTGCGTTTTCAGTTGGCATTGAAGTTTGGCTTCCACTGATTGGCGAGTCTCCATGCCTTTCGTGAGCTAAGCTTTGCTGAGGGCATTACCTTAAAGGCGCCTCCAGCATCGCTCACAGATGAGAGGTAGCCTCTCATATATCAATATCACTATATCTGGTCAGACATGTATCAACAATATTAATTTTGACAACGACATTAGTATTATTAAGTAAGATGTGGATTTAGAAATTGAATCGTTTAAATAATAAATAATTTGTATACAGCGGCTTGGCTTTGCCCCTGGCACTGTTGTAGTCCACGGGCGACGATAACCACTCACTATCAGCTGGACCGTATGCTCGTCTTTATAACTAGCAATTAAATCGAAAAAGTAATTAACCCTTTTAGTGCTGAGCTTATTTTAACATATGTATTTTGCTTAAAGGATTATTGAAGAAAAGTACCTTAATTAGCTTTTTTTTAAAGTTATACGTGTGTGCGTTAAGACACGTCCGTACAGGTCAATACATAATACCCTGTCATCAAACTGCGCAATAGTCGGTATTGCAACGCTCCGCACTATACGAATTAATATAGAGTCGATCTATCGATGGTTCGCGCTCAAAGGTTTGAGAGCTACCCGTCAAAAATTTAAAAAACATTAATCAATAGCCACAGATTACATCAGCTAGTATTCATTTACAACGCTGCAGATTAGATTAGTATTACTAGTATTATATTTTATATAGTGTTAAATCGAGCTGTGATGTCGTAAATGGCCAAATCCTTCCAGTTTTTTTTTTAAAGTAAGTAAAAGTTAGAACGTTTTTAGAGAAGTACTAGTGGTGAATTTATTTTGAAAGTGTCCAATAGATGGCGTTAGTTGTAAAATTAAATTGTACTATCGATGTTTGTGACCAAGACTTATTTAAGGTTAATAATATTTTGTCTGCAATCCCGGTCATCGTCCTCGTCGAACCCGTCGCTTGCGACGAAGGGCTCGACGAGTAAATTAACCCTCAGACACAGCCCACTGAGTTTCTCGCCGGATTTTCGCAGTGGGTCGCGTATCCGATCCGGTGGTAGATTCTGCGAAGCACGGCTTTTGCTAGGGTTCGTGTTAGCAACGTCATCAGGTTTGAGCCCAGAGAGCTCACCTACTAGTTAAGGCGACGCTGGTATAGCCTCTCAAGGCTATCAGCTTAGGTAGAAAAAAGTCTACAATCCATTCGCCAGGCTGTACCTACGGGCACAGCCCTTTATGTTAACAGATTAGGTAGAAAAAAAAACCTGGAATCCATTTTGTCAAACAATCAAGTGCTTCAGGAACATAGCTAGCTATGACCGATAGTGAAAAATTATTCTTTCAATTCATTTTGTGTCATTATCTACTATCGTCATAACAGTGTTTCCGCTAATATGAAAGACAAAAATTATTAGCTTGAATACATATATATATATATATATATATATATATATATATATATATTAGCTATTAAATTATGTACTTATATATAGCTATTATAGATAGGTAACTTTCACGGCATTTGCCAGTAAGTAAAAAATGAAGTGCTTCTATAGCAGATTATTATTGTCAACCAAAATACACACACAGCTTTATAATAAATTAAGTTTAATACATACATAAATTATAGATGGATAATGTTGTCGGATTCTTCGATGCTACTCATTTTTTTTATTGCATAGATGGATGGACGAGCCCACAGCCCATAGACATCTACAACGCAATTAACGCATTACTGCTTCACGGCAGAAATAGGCAGGGGGGTGGTACCTACCCGTGCGGACTCACAAAACGTCCTACCACCAGTAATTACGCAAATTATAATTGTGCGGGTTTGATTTTTATTACACGACGTTATTCCTTACCCGTGGAAGTCAATCATGAACATATTTAAGTACGCATTTCATTGGTACCTGCCTGCCGGATTCGAATACAGTTACATCGCTTGATACGACTGCTCCGGGCTTCTTATCCTTTAGGCCACGACGACAAATATTATCCTAATGTCGACGAATAACACCTAGTCGTCTATGGAAACATCAGAAATAGTAGGTATGTACAGTCACAAGTCTTAATTAATATGCGTATTATCTATGGTGACAAGTCTTTTTGGCGCGAACGCAAGGTTTGACGTCAGAATAATAATAATGAAAATAAAATATGTATGTACGTGTGATTGAATCGTAAAAATTTTAATATTCATAGTAAACTTGAATAAACTCAATGTTATGATTACAAACTGAGAAATATCGAAACTACTGGTGGTAGGTAGGACCTCTTGTGAGTCTACACGGGTAGGTACCACCGCCCCGCCTATTTCTGCCGTGTAGCAGTAATGCGTTTCGGTTCGAAGGGCGGAGCAGCCGTTGTAACTTTATACTTAAGGCCTTAGTGCTTATATCTCAAGGTGGGTGGCGCATTTACGTTGTAGATGTCTATGGGCTCCGGTAACCACTTAACACCAGGTGGGCTGTAAGCTCGTCACCCATCTAAGCAATAAAAAGAAACTAATTCGGTTGAAAAGTGTTTTATATGTGTTTAATGTACTTATGTATTCCCTACTCTATAAGATTTGTGATGGTATCTGTAATGTATTAAGATTTTTTTTCTAAGAAAAACACCAACTCTATCTGTTATAAATAATTATATTGCAATGTTGCATTTTTTTATTCATAGCTTCTTGTTTTGAAGGATGCAACGCGGAACATTAGATTTGAAAAAAATAAACATTACTTAAGTAAAATCATCTTGTTTTTCTTGAACAAATCCAAACTGATATGTTTATATATCGATATCTCTGTTCAGTCATCGGTGAGCATGACACATATAAATTTTAATGACACCTATGAAGGGTGGGGCAGCCGTTGTAACTGTACTTGAGACCTTAGAACTGGTCTCCACTAACCACTTAACACCAGGTGGGCTGTGAGCTCGTCCACCCATCTAAGCTAAACAGTTCTTACATCGATGAGTGATGGATAATGATCATATGGGACCTAAGCTTGATTGTCTTCGATGGCAAAAAATACAAAACATTTACTCATTTTTTAAACACTCCTTTTATTTACTGTCATAATCGCCAACTTCATTGAAACAAAAACTGTCATTTACTATAATAGTCAATTACATTTTTACATTATGTTATTATATTACATTTCTACATTTTTTATTATATTACATTTTTATTATATTACATTTTTATTATATTACATTTTTATTATATTACTGCATTTTAAAAATATATCCTTTTGCACATTTGAGTCGACTATTATCAAAGCCGGCAATGTGACTTTTGGACAATTATTGGTAAATCCGAAAAACGAATTATTGACTTTGTATTCCATTGGCAGTCACAAAACTCTTCTGAACGACATCTTAGATAAATAACAGGTTAAGTATTAACCTCTATTTAATGCAGGTTTTGAACCATATTCTTTGAAGGAAACGATTATATTCAAATCAATCTGTATTGACATATCAATAGCATTTTTTTGTCCAAATGCACAGATTGCCACCTTTGATAATAGACGACTCATTTACAACTTAGAACACGAATCCAATTTAGTCAGCATTAAATCTGACTATATTCAATTTTTTTTAAGCAATCAATTCCTCTAATAAAGTTTTAAATTCGTTCCACGGGCAGTAACCATCTTTGTCTACGGTGCAAGCCTTCAATTCTAAAGTAGTAAATTCAGGGGGCTCATCAAGAGACAATTTCACTCCGTTCCTCATTTTATCTGCAGTTTGATATACATATTCTATTTTCATATGATAGCTCCCGTTGAGCATGTTGAACCATTTCTGAAACACAATCTTCCCTCCAGCCGGTACGGCTTCATACTGACCATGTAAAACATGAGGCCTAAAGTCCATTGCGCTTAGAACTGTGTAAATGTTCGCATCGTGACCCATAAGTAATACAACTTTAGGGCTATTATCGTTCAATAAAAAACTTGATAGGTAACCTAATAATGGTTTCGACAAATCTAGAGATATTAATTTAATAGTGAAAATAGCATTGAGATAAGCTCTGCTCAAATTTAATATTGTACTCCATTCATCTTCAGATTTTATTTGTCCCCATGCCACTTCGTTCGATGGAAACCCCTCATAATATTCCATAATGAAGGAATCCACCACAGATTTGCTTAATTTCAACGGACCTGATATGAATGGCTNTAATGGTTTTGACAAATCTAGAGATATTAATTTAATAGTGAAAATAGCATTGAGATAAGCTCTGCTCAAATTTAATATTGTACTCCATTCATCTTCAGATTTTATTTGTCCCCATGCCACTTCGTTCGATGGAAACCCCTCATAATATTCCATAATGAAGGAATCCACCACAGATTTGCTTAATTTCAACGGACCTGATATGAATGGCTTCTTTCCTGTAATAACCATTGGACGGTTCTCATCTGTCAGCATATCACAGAGACCCTCTTGTTTACAAAGTGGCGAATTCTTGTAATCTAAAATATTTTCTATGGTAGTATAAGAAGTATTCAAATGTAAAGAATTCAAATAATCCTTCATTTGGTTCAAAGCTTCCTGTCGAAACTTAAATGTGGAGTTATGAATAAACGGACTGAATATTGGATCTGCTCGATCGGAATGATGCACAGTGATGTTGCAGTCGGAATAACCTTTTGTGACAAATGCTTCTGCAGATGCTACCGTTCTCTGAGCTGTGTTTGCATAAACATATAGTGTGTCATCGCTCGGGCACTGGTTCTGTATCAAACCTTTTTGTTGTAGCCATTCAGAGAAAAACTCACCCATGTATCCCTCTAGAAGCCTTCCTTTCGACGTTAAGTAACCACTTTTTTCTCTCCAGGAAGGCCATTGTCTTGGGGAAGTTTGCGGTAATGATTTAGACAATGGAGTCCTCACATTATGCCTACTAAGCAACAAAACCTTTTCGAGTATCAGTTCAGAATTCGAATACGAAATGAAAATGATGAAACATGTTAAAAACTTTAACATATTTTACAAAATATAGTGCTATAAAGTTAACGCGGTCTGCCTTCGGTACACAACATGAATAATTCGTATTTGGAAAGGCAAATTATATAATACGATTGGAATCGACCGACCGGTTGCAACGATCCACAATCAAAATCTAAATTTATATTTATTGCTCTTACGACGGTTGAAAGGTAATTGCGAACTAGGTCCATTACTGCAAAAAAAAAGTGGCTACGTAATTCCGCTAATGACATTGGATGTTATCCAAATAGCATACCTATATTTATGAAGTTCAACACTTATTTTTCTATTCAAAAGTAAAAAAAAAACTACAAAAAAAGGACATAAACATAAAATAACTTATTTGACATACCAACAGACTTCCAAGCATAGATAATAAATACACATAGCATGATGTTAACATGCACTAACTCCTAAGCGATGTTGTCAAACAATAAATACCTACATAATGTCTTTGTTTTGACAATTGACACAAATTGTAAAGTATGATTTGAAAACACTGAAGTAGGAAACCTATGGAAATGAAACGTCAACCAAAAATTCGTGCCACTGTGACGTCATCTGGCCACAAAACATGGCGGTTTTAGTGCTGTACAAAAGATTTCAATGTTATCAGGTTTTATCGATAAACGTTCTTGGCTCATTTTATTTTAAATATTGTTGAGTATTATTTATTTGTAGAATTTATACTTGAATGGGAAGTAAGTAGGTATATTGTTATGTGCAAATATGATATGATTTAGATGTGTGAAATCTAAGACAAGTTCGTCCTTCGAATTTGCCAAGTAAACGATATGATGATTTTTAAAAGATGCTATGCTGATTTTATAAAGCTGTCGTTTGTCGTAAAACAAAGATATGGCGTAGTACAGTGCCATCTGCCCGTTTCTAGCATGCTAAATGTTATTGTATTTTGAGTACGTGTTTTCCTTAGATATTACAATCTATTTTAATTGTTTTGCTGACCTAAAGTCCGTAACACACTACCGCAGCGCACCTCAAGGAAGGTGCGCCGCACTATTTGAATCACTTTCACTTGAGAGTGATTCAAATTTTAAACTTATTAAGGGACCGCGTGAAAAAAGAAACACCTACAGAACATTTATTCATTAATTACAAACGTCATTCCTTGTGATTTCCTCTCTAAAATCACTTAATTATTAAATATTTAACGAATTTACAATAGTGTTTTACTCACTGCGGAATAAAACTATTTTATTTAAATAGTTCCGAAGAGATTTTGTCGGTAGCCTTTTTCCCGAAATATCTAAACAGAATGTCTAAGTTTTGATGACATATTTTAAAGAGGTATTTATGATTAGTGTCATGATCAATAGATTCCGACCGAAAAATGGTGTCCGATTTTTTCGGATCAGGACTCCATAATGAATTTAAATATATATAGATAATAGTTTTGGGGCATCGACTTTCTTGAGATCCTATGAAATACGTTTTAATTATTATTTTTGTATGTTCTAAGCATGATAAATTATGAAATTTTATATAAGCAATCATATTAAATCGATATCAAAGTCAATAAATAATGTACAACCCAAAACAGACGGCCGAACTGACGTGACAATGACATTTGGTGCGCTAAGCATGGCGGATTTTCGGCCTCATTAGACCGAGACGGAGACATTTACGTATATTCATGTTTCATTTTATGTACGCACTGAAATACTGTTATATTGTTTTCCTGCGAGTTAAAGTGCTGAGTAAGAACGAGATAGATATATGTTTATGTGTGAGCCTTCAAAATGGGTGCTATTTATATAAGCAATTGTACGTATAGAACAATATGTCGCGTCCCTACTATATAGGTCTATGTTTGAAAAACATTTAGCCTATGAATTTATTACTTGTAAAATTCATTTAGTTTTCAGGAAAGAACACAACCATGAAACTTATCATTTTTTTAATTCTTTCCTATACTATAGTATAGGAAAGAATCTACTAAACGAAAAAGAAAGAAATTATGCTACTAAACGAAATCGTCATTTTCCACATGATAAGAAGCACAGTGTGTGTACTCGTATCGATCAAATTATGCTGGTGCTTAAATCCAGTTAGTAATTAACTATTTTTGCCGTTGAAATACCTACTAACAAAATAAATGTTATATTCGCAAACATTTAAATTTGCATAAAATTGCTTATAGGCAGTCTTGTGAGTCCGCGTGCCTATTTCTCCCACGAAGCAATAATATGTGCCAGTTTGAAGAGCGGGATGCAACTTAAGATATATAAAAATTTGTTAGACCTTATGAAGGTGGTCGCATTTGCATTTTCGTGAGTACCGTATATTATAATATTATGTACCGGTAAAATGGGGCGATTAGGGACAAATTCCAACTTTATGACCAATTATAAGGTGGTTTTTTATATATATAATGCTATGTCAGGATCAAAATGATTGAGTCTTAGGGGCATCTTTGTTGTCCAATTTAAAACTATGCAACTAGCATTCCAGTTTAAGCAAAAAAACCAAAAATAGGTGTAATCCCTATTTACCCGGAAAATGTGGTTAATTGGGACGAAATGAGAAATTTGCTAGAGTTGGCACTACTTGGTTTTAATTTATTTATTTATTTAGTTGCACCAACAAAGTGATCATCAATAAAAAACATTGAGAAACTGACAAAAGTACATGGCAGATGCCACCTCAATTATAGGTGCAATAGACAGTGCATTGACAACAGAAATAAAAAATATATAACTAAAACGTGATTACATTTATTTGTGATTAATTCATATTTACTTGGGAAAGTATCCACGACAGGTTTTTACTGTAAGTTGTGAGATAATTTAAAAAAAACATCTATTTCATCAATTAAAGTTAGTTCAGCGCAATCGGACAACTCCGAATGAGCACTGACGGAGACCGCGCTACCGTGGACATTATTATAGTCCCAAAGGATTCTGTTTAAGGGAGAGTAAGCGCCTAAACTCCAACGAGCGGTCTTTCTTATAAGCGGTTTATATTTCTTCGTTCTTAGTAAGTACTTAGGGCCTGATATTTTTATCTGGGTTAAGAGATTAGGTGTGTCCGTTATTCCATAGATTAATCAGGTGGATACCCCCACTCTGGACAAATATTAATATATTTTATGATATATTACTTAGACATTTTTGTCCACCTTGAAATTTCATTGTTCTTGTTACATGTCTGTACAAAATCGACTTACTTATATTAAATTGCTTAGCTATTTCAACTAAAGACTTATTCCCAATTTCACAGGCTTCTATTGCTGTTTTTAATATTAAGGGATCATATCTCTTATAAGGCTTTGCACTCTTTGATACGTACACGCGAGGCATATCTAAAAATAGAAAACAATACGTAACTGATAATATAAATATTTACCAAACAATAAAATAACACATGGATAATTTTGAATAAAAGTTCTAGACAAAAACATCATGAATAAACTAGATCTTTACCAACAAATTTAAAAAATATTGTTATAACTACATAGACAACCCTACAAACCTGTACCTATTTATACTTAGGTCGTTTCCATTTCGCGTATTTTCATCCCAATTGACCCCTTTTTCGTTGTTATTTGTACCTAAGACGTCCCATATATCCCCAAAAACAACAGATTTTTTCATGTATTTTTATTTTATCAAATACATTAAAACCAGTAACAACTGAGACTTACCTTTAATATATATGATGGTTCAAACACTAAATAACGTTTATAAATCACAGTCGTCTTCTATTATTAACAAATAAATAAAAGAGAGCAAAGTTTCTAGCACTAAAATAATTACCATCACAGGAAGTTAATTTGAAACGCGATTTTTTATAAGTTAGCAGATATTATCATGCATATTCAGAGTTGTTTTGTAAACTTTCAACATTCTACTATGAAACTACAAAAAATGGAAGATTTTGCAACGAATATAAAACTAATATTGAGCGTCGAAAGATTTTCCCGGTTTTTTCCCGATTCGCCTCTCAATCCCTAATCGCCCCATTTTACGGTACATACTATCGGTATTATACTTTTATTGTATGCACATGTAATATATATTTTTATATATATATATGACGAGGGGTTTGGTCCAGAGGAACTTTTAAAAGCAGTGACGTCAGCATTGCTAACGTCACTGCCTTCACTATTCAGCGCACTCATCGCAAACAATAAAACACAACCAGAAACACACTAAACAATTTATTTTACAAGACACCAGAGGGTTCTCAAAGTAATAGTTTTATAATCACAATTATAATAAAACAATAGGTAGGTACTCACAAGATATAATACACCAGCTCACCACGTCTTCACCGCCCGGCGCTCGAACAAAAAGTATTTTGACATTCGTCTATCGTAGTTTCGTGCGCCAGCGAAATTAAACACTAAAAGATGGCGTTGGGCGGGAAAACGTCAACGCACTATTTAAATTGCTACTTCTTTAAATGATTAATTTTAATTACAAAAATAATTCGTAAACTAATTAAACATTTCGAAAGTAATTATGAACAATTCAATTAATTTTTAAATCTTAATCAAAGTTGAAACATCCGGTCTACAAATGGCGACGAATGTTTCGACTGTTAAACAACTCATAATAATTTCATCAATTAATTTTAGGTTTTATTCTAACGCAAAACACATTCCAAAAATCATAACACTAATTAATAACTAAAAACAACCAATTTATTCGACACAATGATTGATATCATAATCAGAACAATTACATTTGTTAATTATCATGGACTTGCGTCGACATATATAATTAATATAGTAATAAACCCGCTTAAAAAGTAATGTGTTCAGTTGCGTGTCGGAGCTTACAAGCTGCTTTTTTATTTATCGCTATTTTTAACTATAAAAACCCTACATTGTCTTCAAATACGATCGGCACCTTACATTCAATATTAACTAAGCCTATTGACGTCAAATACGAGTTTTATCGCTCTCAATTTGTTAGTAGAGTGAACTAAGTTATGAACCGGCCAGTATTTTCATATTAATTTTTAAAAATTCAGTATCTCAGATACTTTCCAAAGACTCACGATTAAGCACAAACACGAGTATGTGAAACCAGTATTACCTCTAGCAGTAATCTAAGCTCAGTGTTCTTAGTGCAAGTTTTGCCGCTAGGGGCGCTGTTTCAACTGCATACTTTGAGTTACTTTTACGCTATCGAGAACGTTAAAAAACTCACACTAAGCACACGGGTCACTATATTCTTTGAACTTCCGAAGGTTCCGAATATACTGCAGTACAGCAGAAACAATATGCATAATTCACTTAAAATAACGTGTTTATTTCGTTTTATACACATACACATTAAGTAGGAAATTAGTGATTAATGAAATTTTTAATACTTATTTATTAATTTCATGAAATCATTCCACGGACATAGACCATTTTTATCGATCGCGCAATCTTTGATCCCCAGTGTTACTCGTAATGGCGGGTTTTGAAAATTGATTTTAACGCCATCTCTTATTTGATCCCAAGACAGATAAACGTATTCTACTTTCAAATAATAATCACCGGCCACGTCCTTCCATTTTTGAAATATAATCTTCCCGCCTACCGGGTACGGCTCGTACTGCTCCTTTAGCACAAACGGATTGAAACCTAAAGCGTTGGTTATTAAGTTCAAATTCACATCGTGGCCCACGAGCAAAGCAAATTTAATATTTTCATTCGTGAATATAGATCTTATATATCTGATCGTAGGTCGGGCAGTATCCTTGACAGCTGAGGGAATATTAAACCGTATTTGTTCATCCATAGCCGTTATTTTAGTTAAAACTTTCCATTGCTCGGGACTAGTGATTTCTCCCCACGCAACTTCTTCCAGCGGACGTCCGTCGTAGTAACTCATTATAAAATTATCAACTACTTCATTTCCTATTGTCAGAGGTCCGTTCAGCTCCAGTTCCTCGCCAATGTGATAAAGTATAATATTCTTGTCGTGGACCAAATCGCAGAATCCTTCTCTTTCGCATTTTTTAGAGTGTTTTATGTCGATAATCTTGTCTAATTCTTCGTAGGCATCTGTTAGTTTATATTTGGCGAGCATTTCCTCGATTTCTTCGACAACTTTTCGTTTGTAGGACTCGGTAGTGTTATGAATATAATAATTAAAGGTGAGGTCATATTTTTTTAAATCCTTTTCATAATTCACGTTTATATTACAGTCAGGGAATGCGGCATCGACAAACGCCTTTGCAGTAGCTATGGTTCTTTCCGTATTATTGGCATAAACCAAAACAGTTTCTGTGTCGGGACACGTTCCGGGTAAGAGTTGATTCTCTATCACCCATTTCGTTAGATATTCGCCCATGTAGCCTTCTAATAAGGCTCCTTTTTCCGTCAACAGGCCCGGCTCTTTGGACCATTTCGGAAATATTTTGTTCGTGTATTCATCTATGTGGTTTGAAAATGAAACCCTTATGTTGTGACGACTAAAAATTAATACTTGCTCGAGGTGTAGACAGCCAACGCCGGATAATAATAAAAAATAAAAAGTTACCGCCAACATTTCGTTCACAGTGCGCGTTGAATTAAAAAAAAAAACTTGCCTATGCTTTGACATTTGCCAAGCGTGTCAACAGAGTCACGTTACAAACACAACTGGATTGAATATTTTTACATTTATGGAGATAAAACTCGTTTAATCAAAATCAGTACGAATTAATTTCCTATTTGTTCTGAACGTCGCATCATGAAATCACAACAAAGTTTTTTTATACATTTTTTTGTTCAAGTTTTATCGATAATTTGAAGGGGTTTTGCTGTAGTTTGCGTGAACGTTAGATTTATTATTTTAATAAGTGCCTAGTTCTTTTTAAAAGAGATCTTTTGAATCTTTTTAATGTTTTAAAAATGATTGATAAACTGGACAGAGTAGTTAGCCAATTGAAATGTTACTTACATTTTTCAGGCCTTAGCGTGCGTTTTTCAGAGGACGCATTTTTTTTTTTGTATTAGAGGTGTTTAGAAGGTTTAGTATAATCTAAGTTCAAGGCTGTGCGGTCGCCACCCTTGTCTCCCTGTCGCCATCTTGAAAAAAGGGGCGCACATGGTTTTCGCTGGTTTTCGCGGTGTATTTCGTAAACTAGCAATCCTACAAAAAAAACTATGAGACATTATTNATCCCGTCTTATCATCAGGACGGGTACCGGCGAAGGCGGACTTTCGGCGCGCACTGCGGTACCGTAGGTCTGGTGTAGCCGGTGTGGTGGAGCTCGATGGGGTTTAGTCGGTAGTCGTTCTGCGGGGCAAGTGCTTCGCGCGCCTTTTTCAAGGCGTAGTCTCTTGCGAGGAATTCGGGGAGGTGGAGGACCTTCTCGTCCCCCTCTTCCTCTCAGGAGGCGCCGGAGTCCGATATAACCCGGTTCGTTACCCCCCCGGACCGGGTATCCGTAAATGGATTCCCCAGCGTTAAAAAAAAAAAAAGGTAATCAAACCGTAAACGTAGCTTGGAATTTATGAATTATTTTACGATTCGACAAAACTGAAACTTGTGGTGTAGCCGCACAGTCGCGCGAGTGAGAACCGTGACCGTGACGCTTGAGGAAGCCTCATGCCTCAACGTAATTATTGAACACCAGACGAATAATGCAATTGTACAATAAAAAAAAGAAATTTTATCCTATTTATACTTTCGCGTTTAAGCCATTATCGCCAAAATAGTTAATCATAAATATGTACAATAAAATTGATAATATATATTTTGTGACGCGCATTTGGTGGTTACAAATTTTTATCAAATCGTTTTATCAAAATAAAATAAAATATTAAACAATTAAAAAATTAATACTTTTATCGCGTCTGTTATTTAAAGTAGATAAACTTTGACTTATACACTAGATCATTTGGACAAATATTTGAATAGTTAAGACTATATAAAAAATTGAGTGCGTGATATTACAGTGCGGGCCGGCAGCAGGCGCGTGGGACGGGCGTGCGGGTGGGGTCATCATTAATTTGAGACATTAATCAACTGGGATGAAACTAAATGAAATGAGATGATATGAGATGAAATATAATCTGTGATATTTTTTTCCCTACCTAACTTGATAGTCTTGAGAGGCTATATCAGCGTCGCCTTAACTAGTAGGTGAGCTCACGGGGCTCAAACCTGATGACGTTGCTAACACGAACCCTAGCAAGAGCCGTGCTTCGCAGAATCTACCACCGGATCGGAAACGCGACCCACTGAGAAGATCCGGCGAGAAACTCGGTGAGCTGTGTCTGAGGGTTAAGCCGAATTTACATTACGAAATTAGTGGCGTGAAATTAATTTCGTGACATTAGTTTTACTAACAGTTTCACGTGTAATTTAATACTTTCGTAATGCATGCATTAATTTCATGCATGGAAATTAGTTTCGTGCCCTGCGCGATTTTTTGGTGAAATTAATGTCATGCAACTAATTCCATAGTGTAAACGCGACGTGAAACTAATGTCGCGAAAGGGCCTGCGCTGTGCGGACGTGTGTATTGTTAGTTCGGACGCGCTTCAAGCGTTGAAAATGGCAAACCAATGATGGAATACAGAAAAAAATATAGATCTTATTAATGAATATCAATGACAAGGGTCCCGAAACACCTATAGTAAAAAATCAAAATTATCTTCACTCATTCGAAAATAGTTTTTATAACTCTCAGGATCTTCATCTGCTAATTCAGAGACTAACTTCATTGCACCTAAATGCCTTCTTGTTGACCATCCTCGAATCTACCAACTTTTTTTTTCTTGATAGTCTTTTTTTAAGTTTATAGGTATATAAGCATTTCTTTAGCTACATTGAATATAGCAAATTATAGCTTTGATGCTAACGGCGCCATGGTTACTGCGATACTGTGGATTTCGCGACACTAATTTTTTAACGAAATTACTTTCGCGTATATCGAAACTACTTTCGTGAAACTGAGCTCAACATGCATGACACTAATTTCGTAATGTAAACTCGGCATTAATTTACTCGTCGAGCCCTTCGTCGCAAGCGACGGGTTTGACGAGAACGATGACCGGTGCTTGAGGTACCTAGAAGCACCGTTAGTGGAACGGGAGGATCCGAAATGACGTATTTGGGGGACGTCGACTACTTTCCATTCTGTCCACAGGATCGGGAATGTAGTTACCAGCGGCCACGATGAGAGGTTTCTCGTGTCGTGCCGCTTTATCGGAGTGGATCTCAGTGAAATGGTGGTCATTAACTGAGATTTTTTCGGTGAACTTTTTGGAAGATCCCGAGAAGTTACGTCCAGCGGCTTTGTTTCATTTTCCAACATTTATGAACTTTCACAGGTATTAAACAGTTAATAAACCACCGTTATAACACATTTAAACCTGAAGAAACACTAAAGAGACAAAATAAATCACACAACTTCACTTCTCGCGTTCCCGCTAAAAAGTCCATTTAATATTAAGGATAGATGTGCACACAGATAAGACAAATAATATAAATGCGCAACTCTAATTGTTTCTTTGTTTGGTTCTTGTATGAAGAACATATTTCTTTTAAGCATCATGGAAGTAAATTTCTAAACGTTCTAATTTTTTAAATCGTTTTTGGTATGGTCTAGGTCAGGGGTCAGCAACCTGTGGCTCGCGCGCCACATGCGGCTTTTTAGTTCCATAGGTACGCAAATATTCTTTTATAAAAAAATAACAAAAAATTGTTCTGCTTCAACTAACGAGGATTGGGCACCATTTCTATCTCTCAGCCCATTGTTGTAAGTAAATGTTTAATTGTTTTCATTTTTTTACTTAAATAATAAGTGATTATCTAATAATACCATTTACACATATATTATCTAATTTGTTGTAAAAAAACACTACTTATAAAAGAATAAATAGATAATTTTCTTATGAATAGATTCGTTTCCTTTATCAAAAAAAATATATTTATGCATACTATTTATTGTTGGCAAGAATTTTTTTGTGGCTCTTTAAAAACTTATCTAAACTTAAACTTAATTAAAACTTAAAAACCGTTGCCGACCTCTGGTGTAAGTCATGGATACATAACGTACACATAATATTTGGGATAGGTAGATGCGCAACTCTCATTTTTATTTTTGCTTTAGTTGGGCCTCCACCCAGCAGGTGTCGCTGCGGTCGAATATTCGATCTCCCCAACCTCCCACCAGGTGGCTTTTTTAGACTTTTATTATTGTTTATACAACCGTCTTTATGAAAAAATCTTATCGTTTAGAATCGCTGAAATTCCCTGTAACACTTATGCAATAATAAAACATGTTTGATTGTGTTCAGCAAGTTAATCGAGAAGATCTTTCACACGGAGAGAAAACAGGTCTATTAAATAAAAACCTGTAAATATCTGTAGCTATTTAATTTCATTTTATTATATACAATTTTCTGTTAAAAGTAATTTTTCTGTTAATAAAAAAATATATAACGTACAATTGTATAAAATTTCGAACAAAAACAAGTCCTTTATAACGTTAAATCGCCAAGTGATTGAAGATCAAAAAAAAATTTCAAAAAAGTAATGTTTTTTATTTTTTATTGCTTAGATGGGTGGACGAGCTCACTACCCACCAGGAGTTAAGTGGTTTCTGGAGCCCATAGACATCTACAACGTAAATGCGCCACCCACCTTGAGATATAAGTTCTAAGGTCTCAGTATAGTTACAACGGCTGCCCCACCCTTCAAACCGAAACGCATTACTGCTTCACGGCAGAAATAGGCAGCGTGGTGGTACCTACCCGTGCGGACTCACAAGAGGTCCTACCACCAGTTATAACAATACGAATACGACGTAACATACGTACTTTTTCATGATTAATCTGTAATTGCAAATAATACTTTTGAAGACGGTTAACTTTTAACCCACAATCAATTACAATGAACTTCTCATAGAATTTAATAAAGGTTGTTTACAATATTGTATATCAGTATTTATATATATCATATATTATTACCTAACTTACTAGCTAAAATAACTATGGAAATCTTATTATATAACTATAAGAACCAAACAACCTATTTAAAAATAAAAAAAGGTTTTAATTTAGATCTCATGGACTATTTGATTTATTAATTTATAAATTTTAAAAATATTTAAAAAAAATAAGTTTCCTTGAGAGTTCAAATTCCTCGCTGAATCAGTTTTTATTTTGAAAAGGACCAAAAAAGTACCTTAAGTAACTTATATTAAAAAACTACGACCATGAAAAATTGAGTATTAATGTAATCATAAAAATTAATTTGTTACTTAACACCTTCTGGTTCAAATATTGTGCATCAATCTTACTTATCATTTTTCAGACATTTTATATGCTCCTTATAATTTTCCCATCAAATTTTGACATTAACACACCTATGAAAGCAAAGATTTTATATTAATTTATATTTGTGTACAAGGATGAACATGCTTACAGGCTACTAATATGGTTATCTAACCCCAGAAATTAGAATGTGAATGCCATCATCCATATTAGTAAAAAGATTTATGGGTTGAGGTAATTTATCTGTTTTTAATAAAAGCTTTAGACCTTGAAAGCTTCTTTACCATTTTAATTTCATCTTTTGTTTTCTACATTTATCCATTAATTCTTTCA